GCTGCCTTGAAATGTCCCACATCTACAGTTTGTTTCTGTTAAATCTGCCACAATCAGATCATCTCCATCCAGGTGAACTGATACTGGGAGCGACAGCCGCAGACGACCAGTATCTGACATTTGCCTAATTTAGTTGTTTTGACTTTTTTAAGGTGGTCTAATCTGCCGAGCAGTTCTGTCTACGTTTCCAAACCACAACGTTCACACCTTCATCTCCCTGTCGTCACCCCTGGCTGGACAGTACGGAGGTTGGATGTTTGCTTCAGGGTTTGGGTGTCTTCTCTTCTTTTCTATTTAAAGGAAAAGCAGCACAAGGCTGACAGGTGTGATGTTTTTCCACAGACACAGATTACCTGAAGTGGTTACCTGGCTGTGTAAAGAAGACTGTTTATCTTTTGTGCTACAACGAAGTGGGGCAGAATCTTTCGCTTTGTGACTACTGGAACGGTAGGGGGGGAGCAGGAACTCTGCATGAGCCTCTGGGTAAACAACATAAAACAGACAATATGCTGTATTTTCTCTGTGCAGACCCTCACCATAGAGTCTGCTACCTGAAGGGCAACACCTTCCTGTCTCTGATAAACGGTGAAGTACCTCACCAGCACCTGAAAGGTAAAACCATCGGGCTTCATGGGACCTTTGCTCTTTATGCCATGACTTAATGATGTTTTGTCCTCATAGACCCACAGTGGGTCTGGTTGAACCCACACTGATGCTTAGAACAAATCGATGCATGGAGATGCCAAAACCTTTCGGCAGCTGAACAGAAATCTTTTTTGTCGGAGCAGAAAAGAATACAGAGGCTGATTATATGACCTGTTTAATTCCAGCGATATCCATGTGAAACACTTTGTTCTTATCTGCATCTGCACATCCTCCCCTCAGACTGGAGAGAAAACTTCCTGCGTATCAAGAAGATGGTGCTGATTGGAGGACCAGATGATGGCGTCATCACTCCATGGCAATCCAGGTTTCACCACTTTAAGAAATGTTTTCCCTCTGCGACTCATTTCCTGGTCAAAGGACAGCTGCCATGTTCTGCACCATCAGGACCAGTACTGGACCAGCTTACTGGACCAGCATACTGGACCAGCTTATTGGACCAGCATACTGGACCAGCGTACTGGACCAGCTTACTGGACCAGCTTACTCTGCGTCTCATTCAGATAAATGTGCATCAGAAATCATTACAAACAGTTAGAGGTTTACAATTAAGGAACACATGTTGGTTTGGTGTGAACACAAGAAACAGAGAAGCGGTTATTTTCAGTTTTCAGTTTATCAACATGAAGTTTCGATCAAACCAGGTTTCAGATGCTTTAGGTAAGAAATAATTGCTTCCTCTTTCCTGTGCAGCCACTTTGGGTTCTACGACTTGAACGAAAATGTTGTGGAAATGAGGAACCAGGAGGTAGGTGACCAGCTGGTGTTTTTCTGCAAACAGCTGATGTTTCTTCAACCTCTTTCTACTAAAGTCAATCTAGTGAGAAAGAAACATCTGATAATAGAGTAAAATACCCCTTATAAGGAGGATAAGGGGTAAAATATCCCTTATAAGGGGTATTTTGCCCCTTATACGGGGTATTTTACCCCTCATGAGGGCAGAAATCTGATACATTCCTGGATGGTAAAACTGGAGGTCCAGTCGATTTCTTCTGCGTTGTTTGGAGAATAACTTTCTGTGATTGGTTGGAAAACTTTAATAAGAACCAACTTCAGCTGGAAAATCAGCCAGTTCAAAATGTATTGACCTCATCAATACTTTGATATTCATAAGTTATGATCTTCTGCCTCTGACAGTTTTATAAAAACGATACGTTTGGTCTGAAGACGCTGGACGCCCGCGGCGACGTGTCGGTGTGTGTTCAGTCCGGAGTCAAACACACACACTGGCACTCCAACTTCACCGTGTTCAAAGCCTGCATAGAGAAGTGGCTCATCTGAAACGAGCCAGCAGCACACAAACTCCTGCTGGTTGTGAAGGACAATAAGTAATCGTCCTGTTTTCTCCTGAAGTCTGAAACACTTTGATATTTGTGTTGTTTAACTTTTGCTTCCTAAAGCTAAACATCCTCATGTTTCTATAGATATACTAGAAAAAGTTTGCAAGTGTTAATGTGAAACTAATGTGTTATAAAAGAAAGTTTTAACTGGAACTTTAAGTGCCTTTACAAACAATTGTTTGCAATCTATAATCTATTTTAATATTACTCTAATCGTCCCACTTTCTCCAGACACTTAAAACAATCAGATGGTTCTTGCTGTATGTTATTTTATGGTGTTTTTTTTCAGTTTTATTGTAACAAATGTTGCATATTCTTGCAATAAACACTAGACTTCTGGTACTAAAGCGTTTAAACAGGTGAAACGAAGCATTTGGTTGATTTAACATCTATGTTTTTGTGATCTGCCAATTATATTTCTGGAGTGTTAATCCCAGAGCTGATTTTTAAACTCGACTATTTCTTCCTCAAAGTTCTGCACTAAAATTAAATATCAACTGTTTGAGGAACCCGGTGAGGGAGAGAACCGGTGCTCTGCTGCCCTCTGGTGGTGGGAGGTTCTTCAGCTGAATGGAGACAAACTTGAAATGATGTTTTAAATCTGGGCCTATTTTATTTACATCATCAATAATATTTCATGTTGGTCTTTTCTCTGTTGCTTTCAACACTTTTTCAGTATTTTATATCTTTCAACATTGTGGTTTTCTTTAACACTTCTTCAATTTCTTGCTTTGTGTGTTCAAGAAATCCCAGTGATAAATCACTGATACTAGTTTCTGCATTTTATTGAAATTTGCATAATATTTGCTGTGTTATAGTGACCTAATGATGAAAAGTCAGATCCTGAGCTGCAGCCTGGTGACTCTTCTGTCCTTCAGACCTGATTAGACAGAAGCTTCTGGAGCAAAGCCAGGGCTGGACTTATTGATCCTGTTTGATCACAGAAATCATCCTGTGATGAAAACACGCAGGTCTTCATGCCTGATGATGGAGCTGTCACAGAAATGTGGCTGTCATTTTTAATAAAGGTTTTAAATCAAAATTATGTTTTGTTTATTTTTATTTTTCAAAAAGTTTCTTTTGTTCAGGTCCAAAATAATAAAACACTGGAAATAAGTTTATTGTGAGAAATAAATGACCTAAAATACACAAAACAAAGGATGAAACCTTTAATAAAGTGACGTTCGCGGTCACAAGCACGCGCGTGTCTCTGTGGAGCTGAGATTTGAACACGTGAGCGCTCCCGCTCCGACAGGTGTGACCAGTGACGTCATAAAGGTGACTCCCCCTCCTGTCAGCTCGGTGTGTCGCAACGCGGCTCCGCTCCAGTTTTCCGGAGGTCCAGATTCGTCCCGCGGGTCTCGGTTCTGCTCAGACCGTTTCCCTGCTCTCCTCTCCCTCATGACGTCACGTGTGATGAAGACTCTCCGATCCTCGCGCGGACGCTGAAACTTTGATCCGGGCTGAGCGCGTGAGTCCTCGGGACCACTTCAAAGGTAAGTTCACCGCTGCGCTTCAAAATAAAAGCTGGGAATGTGTTCGTGAAGCTTTGCAGCGCTTAGAGCTACCGGAACCGAACCGAACCGGACCGGGTCGCACCGCTGTGGGTTATAAATAGCAGCAGCTGTAGAGGAGAGTTCAGCCGTTTCCAAAGTTTCCTTTCGGGATTCAGGAACGTGTTGCTTTAAATGTCTCCGCCCTGAGCTCTGCCTGGTTCGGTCCGGTCCGGTCCGCCGGGCCGTGGAGTCAGTGACAGCGTGGCTAAGGACGACGTGTCCCGCCCTGCGGGGAAAACATCCTGCGAAACATCCAGGAAGAGAGCCGGCAGCATTCCCTGTGTTTTCCAGCTGCAGCATCAACTCAGAGCTGCTTCATGGAAAACGGCTCAGTCCAAGTCCAGCAGCGGGTCAGCACAGATCCCCGCAGCGAAACAGGTTTATAACAGATTTCTGATGAACTGAGACAGAAAAATCTGCCTTTTGTGTTCTTCATGGTTTTAGATTGAGAGAGGAAACTGGATCAGAACCTGCAGGAAGCCCTGGAATAATATCTTAGAACTTTGCAACAGGCTTTAGATGGAAGTTAAAAGTCAAACATGTTTTCTGGCCTTTGTGTCATTTTTCTTGTCAACCAGAAAAACCTGAAATGTTTTCTTCAGGCTGATGGTTTTCCTTCCAGCAAACTATCAGTTTTTGCATAAATGAACTCCGATCTCATTTTGATGGAAATCAGGTGTGTGTGTGTGTGTGTGTGTGTGTGTGTGTGTGTGTGTGTGTGTGTGTGTGTGTGTGTGTGTGTGTTGCTCGACATCACACGCTGTGTTAGATCTATGATTTTTACCATTATGCGTTTTTAAAACGTTGCTTTGTGAAGAAACCAGTTTGTGGTTTTGTTTGGTCCATTTGGGGTCGTGGTTCTGATGTCGAGGTAAATTCTGCTAACATCCACAGAGAAGCCTCCATATTTGCTGGACCCTGAAAGCGTCGCCGTCTGCTCCATGACGTCCAGCACAAGGAAGAACGAGCTTTGCCGAATATGCGGCGGGAGTCTCCAGGGAAACCAACGCCGATGGCTGTTTGCGGCCCAGAACAGGAGGAACGATCAGACCGGGGTCGGTGAGAGGCGGGAGCCTGACCCGGTCCACTCAGAGCAGTCCCTGGGGTGAGTCTGGAGAAACAGACATGTCCTCCCTGCCTGGGAGGCTCTGATACGATATCTGAGGTTTAGTTTCGATCCAATTCAGAGAAACAGCTGAACTGGAACGTTTCCTCTTCTAACTGCAGACATAAATATTTATTGAATAACTAAATATTCAGTTCAGCTCAGGTTAATTAGCTCACAAACTGGTCAAAAATGTAAAACAACGTTAATCTGTTCAGTCTGGAGAACAGCCAATAGAAAATCAATAAAGAAACTGATCAAATCAACAGATTCACAACCAGACATGCAAAACTAACAGCAACAAACTTTCTTTCAAATGTCTAAGAAAATACAATTATGAATTCCAAACATAATCTAAAATATAAAGCAGTTTGTCACTCAGAGCACAAAGCATAGAATTAGATTGGATAGATCTGGATGGACACATCGGCACTGACACCCGATCTAGAAATTAGATCAGAACCGATACAGATATCGAATCGGTGCGTTAATCAATTTGTTGTTTGTTCACAGGCAGCACGTTGTCTCTGGGCTCCTCCGGGTCTCTGTCCCGGTCCCAGGTGTCCCTGAGCTCCTCGTCCAAGTCTGTGGACATCCTGGCTGTTCTGACCCACATTCTGGGACAGTCGGTACCGAGGAATGGCAGAACCGGAGAGTTTGTGTGCGGCAAATGTGTTTCCGCTTTGGAGCGAGTGTTCAAGTTCGACACGGTGATCGCCCGGGTCCGGGTTCTTTCTTCTGAGCGTCTTCAGAAGCTGACCCAGGAGCGGGACAGGATCAGGCAGTGGGTCCGGCAGAACTACCGGCAGAGACACCCGCAGGAGCTCCGGAACCGGAGCAGCGCCAGCGAGGAGGACAGCGAGGCGGAGAAGGAGGGCTATCGGGAGATGCTGCAGGACAACATGGCTCTGTCGGAGTTCGAGTGCTGGTCCGAGAAGTGGGACACATGTCCGTACTTCATCAGAACCGGGAAGCGGTGCCGGAAGGGCAAAGGCTGTGAAGGCTGCGACTCTTTACGGGTTTCTGATTCAGACTACGAGTCGGTCTGCGGGGTTCCTCGCCACATGCCCTTCTCCCCGCTGGAGCTGACCCGGGACAAGTCCCGGAGCATGCCGCTCCACTGGACGCCGCGCCCAGGTCCGGTCCGCCGTCCCTGACCGGGTCCAGCCTCTCGCTGGGCGCCTTCCACACAGAGTCCGTCCATTCGCTGGACACTCTGGACGGAAACGACCCGTTCTGCTCCCGGGCGACCGACCGGTTAGCTTTGTGATAACAGAGCTGAGGAGCATCCAGGGGAAGTCGCTCAGCTCGCCGTCTGGCAGTAAGATCCCAGTGCTGGGCCGGAAGGGCGGGAAAAGCCCCGGGCCGGCGACACCCAGGGTCAGCCGGGTTCTGGACTTCGGGGATCTGGAGGGCGGAGACGTGCTGACGGAGCTGAGGGACGAGTACGTGCCACTGCACCGTCAGGTGAGGCTCCATCCGGGTTCTGCAGAACCACTGGTTTCTTTTTAGCAGTAGATTAGCGCTTTAGAATCTGTAAAACTGGATTTAGGGGAAGCAAAGATCAGCTGAAGTGTTCCTGCCACCGGCAGCTAACATTATGTTAATTTCTAAAAAAAACAACTTTTATCATTTTTGATAAAATACCTATTACAGAAAATGTTATTTTTAAAGAACAAGCATGTTATTTGTGTTTTCTGTGTAAAATAAAGACAATAAATGTCTTTATTTTACACAGAAAAAAAAGAGAAATGTATCCAAAATTATACTACTGATACTTTAATGTCATTAGTTATTATATCAATATTTAAAAACATTAGTTACTTTATCATTTTAACCAAACGATAAATGAAACCTTTGTGATTCCAGAACAAACACAGCCGGCTTCAGAGTGCGGCCAGGCACCTCCGAGCCCAACTGGACCAGGCCGGGACCCGGATCAGAACCCTGGAGGCCGAGCTGAGACGAGCCGGACCGGAGCAGGTCAACGGATCGGAGGACCTGGGCTTGGTAAGAACTGACCTCCAACAAAATGATCCGAGATTAGCAGAGATTAGTTATCCTGATCCTGCAGATCTGAAGAAACCCAGAAGAGATCAGTGATCAATAAACTGATTGACTCAACTCACTCAGGTTTTAAATTCAATCTTTGAAGCAAAATTCACTGTTTGTTGTAGAAAACCTGTTTAAATAAAATGTTCATCCAGTCAGATTATAATCTGTTCACAAAACATTAAAACTTCATTCGGCAGAAAACAGAGAAAAAGTCAAAATAGTTGAAGCAACAGATCTGTTTCAGAAAGGCTGAGGAAACGCTGCTAAATTCATGCAAACATGACTGAGGAGCAGTATGACCTTTGACCTTTCACAGTGATCCTAAATGTTTTACGGCCTTCCTCACGTCTCACCTCCACCTGTCAGCAGTTCTCCAGAAACTTCCCCCTGCATGTTTGCAGAGCCTGTGACAGTGGGCTGCAGTTAAAGCCAATATCTCTGGATGTTTCTGTGATGTCAGCGACTCGCAGTGATGTCAGCGACTCGGGCTTCGCTGCACAGCTCATCACAAAGTAAATGCCTCTTTCAGGTGATTTCAGCAGATTAAACATCGCGGCTCTAATTATAGATCCGCGTCCCGCCCTGGTATGTCAGCAGCTCCGAACCTTTGGATTCGGCTGGACAAGCAGGTTTATGGGAGTCAGCCCGCAAACGGCCTCATAAAGCAATCAGTGGGCTGTGACAGCAGTGCAGCGAGCGCAGGGTAGGGCAGCGCAGGGCGTGTCATCAGAGCTGCAGGTGCACACGCAGGCCGGCGCTGTGAGGAATCCACCCGGACCGGAGCAGTGGCCCCGGGGCACCTCAGCTGATCAGAACCGGATCAGTCAGAGCGACGAGCCGCTGCAGGTTCAGAGCAGCAGGGAAGCTGCTTTCATAACCGAAAATATCATTTCATTGTGGGAATGAGGCTTTAAACAGCTGCTGAGTTTTCCTTCAGGATGAGTCGGAACGCCAAGCCGTCACTGAGCCTCGACTTTATCGAAACCATCAAAAGTCTGAGGAGGGAAAACGTTTCCGGTTTAGATTCAGATTCAAGGCAAATTTAAAATATGAAAGTTGATGGGAGATTGTTTCAGCAATCAGCCATCAAATGTGTTTTTATATATTATTTTAGCCATAATTAACTTAAAAAACGTAAGTCTTAAATTTATGCATCTAAAATGAAGACTTTTAAAATGTCTTAATTTCATAAAGTATAGAAGTTGGCCTTTGGTCTGTTAACATTGGGTCTTGAATTGGTCGCGCTGTTTGAGGCTTCGTGTCGGGCCTCATCATGCTGCAGGAAGTGATCCGCCATGTTCCAGGAAGTGACCGGCCATGTTGCAGGAAGTGATCGCCATGTTGCAGGAAGTGATCCGCCATGTTGCAGGAAGTGATCCGCCATGTTGCAGGAAGTGATCCGCCATGTTGCAGGAAGTGATCCGCCATGTTGCAGGAAGTGACCGCCATGTTGCAGGAAGTGATCCGCCATGTTGCAGGAAGTGATCCGCCATGTTGCAGGAAGTGATCCGCCATGTTGCAGGAAGTGACCGGGCCATGTTGCAGGAAGTGACCACCATGTTGCAGGAAGTGACCGCCATGCTGCAGGAAGTGATCCACCATGTTGCAGGAAGTGATCCCATGCTGCAGGAAGTGACCGCCATGTTGCAGGAAGTGACCGGCCATGTTGCAGGAAGTGACCGGCCATGTTGCAGGAAGTGATCCCCCATGTTGCAGGAAGTGATCCGCCATGCTGCAGGAAGTGATCCGCCATGTTGCAGGAAGTGACTGGCCATGTTGCAGGAAGTGACCGGCCATGTTGCAGGAAGTGACCGGCCATGCTGCAGGAAGTGACCGGCCATGCTGCAGGAAGTGACCTGACGAAGTATGCCTTTGTTTCAGCAGCAGGATTCCTGAAACTTTGATTTATCGGGTTTTTAGGTCGTTACATGAATTAAATTGTCACTAAAATGTCTTAAATTTGAGTTTCTGAAAGCTGCAGAATCCAAATTTATCCATACAACAGCCTCCACATTAGAAACGATCAGTATTTAGATTGCAAGTTTCATTCTTTGTTCTTCACGGTGACTCCGTGGATCCTCTCTGGCTGCTGAGCCAGCGGTTCTGTGGATCATTCTGAAGGTTTGTTTTGACCCGGTTCTGATCCCAGATGTCCATGTTTTACTGCAGGTTGTTGATGATGATTTCCTGTTTTCCTTCTCTAATGTCAAATCATTCTTCTTCTCTCCCACAGCCGAGGCCCGGCGCCGGGGGTGCTGCTCTTGGCCCGCACCCTGCAGCAGCGACTGGTCCAGGTGTGTGAGACCGCCGGGTGGATCCAGTGGATCCAGTTGATCATTTGCTCCGCCTCACAGGCCACAGGAATGTTGTTTGCTGTGGAGCTGCGGGGGGCGGAGCTTCTGCTGCTGGGGGTTAATGATCCTCACTCTGTTTGACTTACTGTGGGCAGACCTATGACCTTTGACCTCTGTGTTCAGCTGGTTTTAGAGAGAATGACCAGCAGTTAAAGAAACGGAGAGTTAAGTTCCAGGAGTTTTCTGCTGACCGGTCCAGAGAAACCGGCCCACAGCATCACTCATCCTCCACTCTTCCAAGCAGCTGGATCAGCATGCACATCCACAGGGGTCTAGTTAAATCCTGCTGGGGTCGGATTCTGCTGCCAGAGTCCAAAGCAGCACCGGGAAACTGGATCAGAACCTGTTCGCCAGTCACTCCTTCAGCTCCCTGGTAGTCAGGCAACCAGGACCAGAACCAAAACCAGGACCAGGACCAGGACCAGAACCAGGACCAAAACCAGGACCAGGACCAGAACCAGGACCAAAACCAGGACCAAAACCAGGACCAGGACCAAAACCTGGACCAGGACCAGGACCAAAACCAGGACCAGAACCAAAACCAGGACCAGAACCAAAACCAGGACCAGGACCAAAACCAGGACCAAAACCAGGACCAAAACCAGGACCAGGACCAGAACCAGGACCAAAACCAGGACCAGGACCAGAACCAGGACCAAAACCAGGACCAGGACCAGGACCAGAACCAGGACCAAAACCAGGACCAGGACCAAAACCTGGACCAGGACCAGGACCTGGACCAGAACCAGAACCTGGACCAGAACCAGAACCTGGACCAGGACCAAAATACAGGACCAGAACCAGGACCAGGACCAAAACCAGGACCAGAACCAGGACCAAAACCAGGACCAGAACCAGAACCAAAACCAGAACCAAAACCAGAACCAAAACCAGGACCAAAACCAGGACCAAAACCAGGACCAGGACCAGAACATGGACCAGGACCAGATTCTGCTCCTCACATTACACTGAGATGTTCTCAAACTGCTGCTTCTTTTAATTTTTGCCTGAAAAGATTTTTTCCTTCCAGCAACTTTTGAACAAAGATGAATTGTTTTATTGATCTTTATTTAGTTTTCCTGCTGCTTCTGAGGTTGAAACTTTTCTTTTTCTCTGCTGAGTGATCCACTAACAGATTCGTGACCCGGACGTGTTTCTGTGTTTCTCCTCTCAGGAGTGTTTGGTTCTGATCCGAGGTCTGTGTGTGGAGAGCGGAACCGGCGCCGAACTGGGAACCCAGCTGACCGGGAAGCTGCTGGAGACGCTGAAGGAACTGCTGTCTGATAACAAGGTCAGAGTGGAGGTCATCTGATCGGCTCCTGACGCGCCGCAGGACCGAGTCGGTCTGCGGGTCGCCGTGACCTCCAGGCTGGAGGTCACACGGATCAGCTGACGGCCTTCAGGGCAACAGGATGGAGACGAGGCGTCTCTGCTGATCGTCCCGATGTTTCGCCCCCGTCTGTCCTGCAGGTTGCTCTGGAGACTCTGAGGTCTGAAGCCACCGAGGCGGAGAGGAGCCTGGCGGAGGAGGTGGAGGCGCTGAGACGAGCCGGACGGGACCGCGAGGCGGACCTGGACACGCTGAGGACGGTTCTGCAGAGCAGCCAGGACGTGGTCAACGTGAGGACAGACAGGCAGGCAGGCAGTCCTGGTCTGGGCCGAGCTGAGCGTTGTTCTGTCTGCAGGAGCTCCGGGCGTCTCTGGAGGACAGGGAGCGCCGGCTGGACGAGGCGGAGACGCAGAGGGAGCTGTGCAGACAGAGGGACGCTGCCGCCGCCGCCGTCCTGAAGGACAAGGATGCTCTGATCCGGAACCTCCAGCAGCGCCTGGAGCACCCGGTGAGCAGATCCGGTTCTGGTCCAAACCTCCGCCTCGGTTCTGGAGGTCTGTGTTCATCTCCATGGAGACGGGCCGAGGCATGTAGCGTCTGAGAGCGGAGCCTTGAGCACTCTCTGTTCAGCTGGTCTGGAGATGACCTCTGACCTTTCCCAGGAGCTGCAAAACCATACCAAGAATTGGAGTCTTGTTTTCAGTGCAAAATATTTTTGTCCTAAGTGCAGTTAGTCCAGCTGGTATCACGTTTCAGTGAATAATTCCTGAATATTGATGAAGATCTTCTGGTGAATAATCTGCTCCTGCTGGGCGTGGCTCTGCTCCTGCTGGGCGTGGCTCTGCTCCTGCTGGGCGTGGCTCTGCTCCTGGGCGTGGCTCTGCTCTTGCTGGGCGTGGCTCTGCTCCTCCTGGGCGTGGCTCTGCTCCTGGGCGTGGCTCTGCTCCTGGGCGTGGCTATGCTCCTGCTGGGCGTGGCTCTGCTCCTCCTGGGCGTGGCTCTGCTCCTGGGCGTGGCTCTGCTCCTGCTGGGCGTGGCTCTGCTCCTCCTGGGCGTGGCTCTGCTCCTCCTGGGCGTGGCTCTGCTCCTGCTGGGCGTGGCTCTGCTCCTGCTGGGCGTGGCTCTGCTCCTCATGGGCGTGGCTCTGCTCCTCCTGGGCGTGGCTCTGCTCTTGCTGGGCGTGGCTCCAGGCTCCAGCAGGAGCTGAAAGTTTCTCATCAGTTCGTTTTTATTTGAAATGTTTTAGATTTGCAGTAGAAACCAGACGGAGTTAATATTTTGTGTTTTTACAGTGCAGTATCATCGCTCTCAGCATCCGGTTCTTGTCAGAATCTGAACGGCTCGGTCCGATCTCTAAGAGCAACTGGGTTCTGCTGTTCTTCTGCACTGGTTGCAGTTCAAACCAGTAAAACCAGGAAACATTATTTTTCATCCTAAAACTTCTCATCTTCTCCTCTCTCTCTGATTGGTCAGCAGTCGACAGGAAGTGAAGAGCAGGCGGCAGCTCTGCTGAAAACTGCAGAGGAAAACAACGCCACCTTGTGGGAAGAGGTCACCAAACTGAGTGCAGCTGTGGAGGCGTCGCAGGATCTGCTGCAGGTTCAACATGATGAGGATCAAACGGTTCTAAAAATATTGAAACACGACAAACAGGCAGAAACTGCTCACACCTGAAGGCTTTATTAACCTAAATATTCTGCACTTTATGACTAGGAAGTGAATATTTTTACCACTAAATTCACTGCAAAAAAACAGAGAGTTTAAAAACCAGAAAATAGAGTTACATGGAGCTTAAATCATGAATAAGAAGCAATAAAATGTGTAATTGCAAAACTAGTTGCTTAAATCTGGGATGAAAACACTGATTATGATAAATCCACATTTTCCTGAACCTTTTCTTCAGGGGTGTTCAATATGTGGCCCGGGGCCCATTTGCCCTCGTTAGCACTGCTGGACGAAACCCGCTGGGTGTGAAAGGAACCGGGTCAGTCGGGCTCCACTGACCCGGACAGATCGTCCAGCTCCAAGCCACTAAAATAATCTGAAGTTTGTGATGAATAAGATTTTGAAAAGGAGCAATAAGGTAGATAAAATAAAAGCAAAGTCTGGTTATTTCTGAGATAATTTGGATGAAGCTGGATCATTTTGTAGTTTAATAGTGAAAACTTCTCCAGTTTAAATTCGGCTGAATGTTCAGCACCGTCTGGCTGCAGCCGGCGGCTCTGATCCCTCCATCTCTCCTTCAGGCTCAGCAGCAGAGCCACGCCCAGACGGTCGACTCCCTGACGGCTCGGCTCCGGGACGCCCAGCAGCAGCTGAGGCGGGCGGAGGAGCAGCAGAAGAAGATGGACAGAGAGCGGCGGACCAGCCTGGAGGACGGCGAGCGGCGGGAGCGCCTGCTGAGGGAGAGTCTCCAGAAGAGAGACCGGCTCATTGAGGTACAGAACATCTGCTTCTCCCTCTGGTGGCTCGGCTCTGAACTACACCGCATTCCTGACACGTTCATGTCCACCTCGCTGCAGCAAGCAGGACGGGACGGACCGCAGTCCGTCTCAGACCTTATCTGGAAATGAGACCATTGCACTCCAGAAGTGAAGAGGGCGCCATTTCCTTTATTTGCTTTTCCCCTTCATGTTGGCTGCAGCGAGGTCCTTTTCAACACAAAGTTATTTCAAAGGTTTTTAAATAACTTTTTAAAAAATTGTTTCCAAAACACCAAATTATCTTCCAAAGTGTTTGTATGACAGCACATTAAGTCATTGTAGTGAGAAAAAATGGATGGGTTAAATTACTGCCAAAAAACTCAAACTCAAAAAAATGTGTATGACAAAATATAGGAAAAAAAAACAACATGAACATTTCTGGGTTAGAAAGAGAAAAATTAGCTCGAAAAAAAATCATAACATTAATATTAATGTCAGAAATTTTGTAGAAAACGAATTGGGAAGTTCTGAGTTTCTAAATTTTCTGTCTTTTAAAACTCAGAGTCTCAGAAATTTTCTAGAAAAAAATAAATTTAAACTTTTAGATTTGAAAAATTTCCATATTTTTTCCAGAAGATATCTGAGACTAGTCTAAAAATTTTGGTGCAAATTTACTCCTTTTTTCGACAGAGGCCCAAATACAATGTCGTATGTCTGAAATGTAGAAAAGGAGAAATCTAGGAAAAGGTCAAAGGTTATTCAGGAAAACCTGAAGAACTGATGATTAATCTGGTTTTACAGGAAAACAGAAATAAGATCGGGATCCGGATCTGGATCTGGATTCAGTGTTCATACTGTTAAAACCAACTCTTCTGTTTCTGCTCTTCATGGCAGCAAATCCTGGTGGATGCAGAGGAGCGAGAGCGCCTCCTGCAGGATCTGCAGCAGAACTTGCAGAACAAGCGAGAGCCAATGACGGCCGTCAAGCACACGCTGTGACGCAGCAGCCGTTTGGACCAATCAGGATGGAGGAATCTGCTGCGTTTATACAGAATGAGCATTTCCACAGTTTGAGCTGAGCTCTGTGTGACTCAGATGATTAATACTTGAATTATTGAATGTTGATTGATTATTGAGTGATTCATTTTGAATGTTTTATTTCATGAGGTTGGAACGTTACTTAATGTGGGACAGGCGCAGGGTTATTTAAAGCTGCTTTAATGTTTCTATTTGTTTTAATCTGACAGTCAAATTTTAGCTGCTTTGATTTTTCTCATTTTTCTGTTTCCTCTGGATTATTCTGTTTCCAGTGTTGAAACACGTCACTGTTGATCTGGGATTCAAACTGGAAAATGGTTTTGTCTTTTTGGCTCAAGAGAATAAAAACCTCTGAACGGATGAGTTTGTTTGAGTTGTTTCTGTTTAGAGGAGCCGATCGAAGCCGTTGCATTTCCACCTTCATCTGGGTTTCGACCAAAGAACCAACCTGTTGTTTTATTTAAGAATCATCACTGGGCAACAATCTGATGCTTTGAAACGAAATGTTAAATATTCAAAATGGGGGGATTATAATAGTATAAAAATATAATAAGCTCTTTGCTGAGTCACAGTTTGCTCTCTTACAATGGACTGAGAGACTGCTATGATTTATTTTAACTTTATTTCGTTCAGAAACATCAAAACGACAAAAAGTTCACGATTTACATTTAAATGAAATCCAAGCTGAACATTTAATTACGATCTGTTGACTTATATTTGCAAAAAAATAACCAAGCATAAAGAAAAAAGTTTTTTTTACAAAACTATTGTACCTTTTTAAATAAGCAATTTATGAATAAACTTATTTAAAAATGGATCAGCATCAGAGAGTGAAGAGTTTTAATAAATTAGTGGACGAATAATTATTACTAATTATTATTGTCATTTGACACTTCACTAAGACTGAATATATCTATATAGATCTATATATATATATACTATATATATATATATATATACTATATATAGATATATATACCTATATATAGATATATATCTATATATAGATAGATATATATATCTATCTATATATAGATATATATATATAGATAAAAATCTATATATAGATAGATAGATATATCTATATATATATATAGCTATATATATATATATATATATATATATATATATATATATATATATATATATATATATACACATTTTTATTGTTTCTCTAAAGTTTTCTAAAACTATTAGTTCTTAGAAAATTTTACATTTTGAAATTTTGAAAACGTAAAAAAAATCTTCAGTCCTACATTATAAAAAAGAAATATAAAATTTTTCTGTTTCTCTAAATTATTCTAAAAATATTTAGGAATAGATTATGAATATAACATAGAACTACCAACATGAGTTTTATTAGCGGTTTAGATTGGGACAGTTACTTTGCAGTTGGTCAGATTTTACAAGTTTAGTTTTACCTGTTTGGACTGAAAAATTTCAAATCTGGCAACAGCTGCGAACTGCGCTGACGTCTGTCTGTTCATGTTATTTGTTTGAAATAAAGTAAAAAAAAAAAAGTTGCGAAAGGCGCCATTTTTGTTATTAATGAGCATGACGCGCATGCGCCATGCTGGATAAAATGTGACACAACGTCTACGTGAGTGTTTTAAAAAAACAGATTCGGCTGCAACCCGGCCGACACTAAACTGATATTTATGATCTTTGGGACCAGGACCTTTAAAAATGATATTTTCTGATCTCCCAACAGAAAATATTAAAGTAGTTTAAAACGTTTGTACCAAATGAAACCCAATAGATTGTATGGAGTCATTACTCACAGCGTTCGCTCCATCTGACCAGCAGGGGGCGACAGCAAATCACTTGTGTTGAGTCGTTAACTTTACAGCAGACCCTCATCCAGAGCATGCATGTAGCGACAGTGGAGAGGAAGAACTCCCTCTACCAGGAAGAAAGCTCCAGCAGAACCAGAACCGGGCCCAGTACCAGAGCCATCTGCCACGACCGACTGGAGCTGAGAGACGACAGAAGAGACTCAACAGGTCAGGAGAACTTTCCATGTTGGTGGAACTGAAAAGGAGCAGAACAGTTGGGGTGATGTCAGCCAATGTCCTCCTCCAGGAAGCAACCGCAGCCAATCAGAACGCAGGCCAGGTGTGGAATCTATAGAGAAAAAAATAACCCAGAAAACAAAGTTTAGTTTCTAAATTTTTAGTTAGAAAAGTTTTAGTTTCTAACTAAACAGAGAGCGCCACCTTCTGGCCTCTCTCCGGATCAGTTCAGGTCAGAGAAGGGAACTGTTTCTGGTTTCGTTTTCCCCTCTGTGGGCTGCCACCGTATCGCGGTGGAGGGGTTTGAGTGTCCCAGTGATCCGAGGAGCCGCCGGAGGCTTCACGCCTCCATTTGAGTCGGGTCTGCCAGGGAAAGCAGGTCCAAGGTGAGGGATCGGACCAAGAGCAGCCCAGAGATCACTTAGAAATACAAATACAGAATGTTCCTGTTGATGGGCGATATAGACAGGATTCCCACTTACAACCAGAGCTAAAAACAGATGTCAGAGTTTTTCCCAGTGCTTCATGAGCCTGGTGGCCGCCAGGCTTTGTTTTGCCCCCACCAGGCTATGGGTTATTGGAAATGTGGATTTTCTACACCAGTGACAGTAAAGACAGATTAAGCTGAAGGACAGGACAGCTCAGCAGAACCCTGAGACTGGACGGGTCTGGACAGAGCCGTGTCTCCGTCTGCAGGTCCAGAAGACAGCAGGGGGGAGGGTCAACTGAGCGTTGGTAAAAACATAAAGCAGCATTAAAGATTTTATATTTCCAGACCATGAGGTTCAATTATAACCCAGAAAATATTCTGAAACAAAATCCAAATATTTCAGAATTTATTGGTGTAAAAGCAAAAAATGTTGGAGGAAAATGAGAAAGTCAGATGAGACAATTCAGAATAATGATCTGAAAAAAAAAACTTAATATGGTCATTAAATGTGAATTTTCTATGACAAAGGAAGATATACCAATAAATGTCTAAATAAATGTGCACTGATGATACAAATAAATCAATAGATCCACAGAAAACACTGCAGAACCACCAGGTTCTGAAAAATCATGCAGTTGGAGGATCAGATGAGAACAGGTTGATTCATTATCCTCAGACTATTTATTTACTTATTAAACATTTAGTATTTTTTTTTCAGATTGCCTCTTATGAACCAAAAGCTGAATGATTTTTCAGTCAGTCAGCTTCAGTTTGAGGCTTCCAGTCATGAGACTGCAGGTCACTTGATTTCCTCCTCCACGACTCGACGTCCTTCATTAGCAGAAGAGTCCTGATTTAATTAGGCCGCCGTGTCTTTAAGGCTGCCTGCTAACGTAGATCTTCGTCACACAGAAAGTGACCGACCGAACCAGCTGATCTGAACCGGCTGCTTGTTTTAACGCTGAGCAGGACAATATTTCCTCTGCAGCTGCACAGATCAACCCAGGACACTAATGAAATCAGCAGCAGGTGGGGGTGGGGCTTCAGTGACTGAGAATCACAACATCAGTAGGAACCAGATGAGTCCAACGTTCAGAACCTGCAGAACAAGCTGAGCTGGTCCAGGTCCTGCAGCATGCAGACAGCTGGCAGCCTGTAGGAACCAAACCGCAGGAACTGGACCGGACCGAACTGGACCGGACCCCAGGCAACCGGACCGAACCCAGGCAACCGGACCGAACCCCAGGGAACCGGACCCCAGGGAACCGGACCAAACCCCAGGCAACCGGACCCCAGGCAACCGGACCGAACCCCAGGCAACCGGACCAAACCCCAGGGAACCGGACCGGACCCCAGGGAACCAGACTGATCAGAACTGCAGGAAACGTTCTCAGAAACCATCCATGATGCCCCACCTTCTGCTTCTCCTGTGCTTCCCTCCAGCTGTGGGTGAGAAAACCAGAAACCGGGTCTGTTTGTGTCCAGGCTCATAAAAATCTGCCAATATAACATAATTAGCATGAAGGATTTTATGATTAAAACAACTTGATCAAATCTCAGATTTTTAACCTGTCTGGTTGTTTCTCTTGTTTTTGTTCAGAACATAAAAACAAATGGGATCATTTAGATATAAAACAGGCATTTCTTACTGTTTCATCTTCCCTCAGGACTGAGCAACAACAAACAGATGGTTTATTATTTGCAGTGAGGTTATGCAGAGCGGTTCTGAGCAGTCAGCAGGATGTCAGTGTGGAGGTTATGCATTTATTTCTCATAAAGGAAATAAGATGCTTCAGCTGCAAACTGGAAAAGAATCAGATTATTGTTGCTTTATATGAAACCATGTTATATTAAAATCATGAACACTGCAGCCTGCTGTCCTCCAGTCTCCCTGTTCTGCTACACCTGTGTGTTTCCGGCCGTCTCTCCTCTGGACTGCATCCGGTTCCCGCTGAAGTGTCCGCCGGGGCAGCTGTGCCTGTCCAGCCGGGCCGTGGGGCAGAAAGGTGAGCTTCCCTCGGGCAGCTGGGTGGGTGAAAGCGAATCAAACCTGAGTTAATGGACTGGTGGTTCTGCAGGTGACCTGCGGGTGGTGCTGTACGAGAAGAGCTGTGTCCTGCCTGCGCTGTGCGGAGTCACCGGGGAAAAGTACGCTCTGGGTCTCAACTTCACCTTCATCAACGAATGCTGCAACACACACCTGTGCAACGCGGCCGGCCCCCAGACCGGGCCCCCCCGGGCCGGGGCCCCCCTCTGGACGGCCCTGCTGCTCCTGCTGGCTCTGGGCTCCGCTTGGTGAACGGCATCATGGAAACCATCCAGGGAGTGAATACTTCTGATTCCAGATACAGCAGGTTTCAGAGTTTTAAAGTGAAAGTAAAACTAATCTCTGAATTAAAATTCTTACTGCAGAAACTTCATAAATGATTCCAACCAAATGAACTTTTCAGATTAATGAGCAAAACAAGTCGAACTGGAGGGAAACAGAAATTCTCCTTGGAGCTGAAACTTTAAAACTCATCTGATGAAAGAACATCTTGTGCCTGAATGTGATTATATGATAAATGATTTAGCGACTGAGGCTGGATGAATGCTGGAACGTTACCATGATGTTCAAACGTCCAGAAAAGGTTTGGATCCAACATTCATGCAACAATTATGAGTTACTTTTTCTATTCTGAGTTTTGGATTAAATTCAAAATAACATGAAATAATCTCAGTAAAACCCATAAATAACAGTAAATCAAAGAGAATTTGTACATTTTAGTTGGACTTTGATAAATTCATGCAGAGTTCAGCACCAAACTGAACTTCTTACTGCAAATAAAATAGAAAATAAACTGCAGAAAAATATGGGACTCATTCAGTCAACAATATTTAGGTTTTTATTGCATTTTTGATCAAGTCTGAACTGTTTATAGGGGAAGAAAAAATGAGTTGAAACTGTTGTAATCTTTACCAAAATTGACAAACAGATAAAATCACACTCCACCAATATTAAAATGCATAAATAAATACATTTACTTAACAGGTTGTGTATTGTTTTTTGTTTAAAGTTCATATATTAAATAAACATAAACAGTGTTATTATGCAGTGAAGGAGTTTATCATTAATGTACTTTTACATAACAGATTTAACTGCTTACTTGGGAATAACATGGAAAAGAAATTTGTCATAAATTTTCTTCTGAATCTACAATGAAAGATAATCTCTAGTCTGGGTTGGATTATCGGTTTGCTGCAGTACCTCAGGCTGCCAGTGAGTGGCGCCACCAGCAGCGATTCCTCATTGGACTGCATAGCATCAGGGATCCCGGTCCCAGTGTTTCCAGTTTGACCAGTAAGAAACACACAAAGCAGAAATTTGGCAGCTTTGAATCAAGATGAATTACAAGATTATCATCTTAATAAACACATAAAAACCTAACAGAAACATTATCTGTGTTTCAGCGACTCAAGCTGCTGGTTGGAGCTTTTAGACTGAATATTGTGAGCAGGTCAAGTAAAACCAGTTCATTTCTAATCTGGTCCATTAATCTGTGGTTTTATTGTTTCAAAGGTTTTAAGCTTTTTCTAATGTTTGGACATAAAACTAAAATGGTGCAAATATTCCTGTTCAGATCACCAAACATTTAAATGATAATTTCTGCACAGAAAATGAGTTTAGACTCTGCATATTAAACCAGTGTTAATTGGTTTAATATGCAAAAACTCTTCAGAAGTAAAATGTATGGAGAAAACATACATTGATAGGTCATAACGTCTATCAATGTTTTCTTTTCTGGAGGAGGAAATCCAGTCGCTGAGCTTTAGACGCAAAAGTTGAAGTCCAGCAGTTCAGATCAAAACGTCTCTGCTTCACTTTCAGATGATCAATAATCAGCTGGTTTATTGATCATGCTGCATTCTGACCCTCCGAAGCCAAAAGGACCAATCAGGACCAATCGGTGCCGGTGGCTTGTGATTCCAGCAGGTGGGATTAAAACGGAGCTGAAGCCATGGGTTTTTTTACTGTGGGTTTGTGTATTTGTAGGAAGTTGGATACTCTCCCAGAAGTTCCTGAAGAAATCAAAAAATGTGCCTAAATTTGTTCTGACTCCAGTTTCCTTTAGGAAGTTTTCAGCTGAAAGACAAACTTTGTTTTTCTTCTCAAAGTTTTTAACGATCTAAACAAACTCAAGGTGGTTTTGGTGAACAGCAGACGGTTGTCCCTGATTGGTCTCTGTGGTTCTGGTCCAACTCTCATTTCCGGCAGTGGTTCTGTTTTGAGGTTGTTGGTTAATATTTTAATGGTCTTGTAAGAGGAGAGGAGCACAGGCAACATCACCAGTTTAAAGGAAGTCCTTTGATTTTTTCAGATGAAATCTGAAGTTTGTCCCTGAAAACCGAAGCTAATCATGCTAAAGGCTAAGATGCTAAACAGGGTTTGAAACATCAGCTGGATCATTTTGAATGTTGGTGGAATCCATCTTTCTGCAGAGCTGGGCGGCACCTGCTGCTCTCTGGCACACAGTGTGACGTCTCCTCTGCTTCAGGCTCCGTAAGTTAGGATAAATAAACGTTGGGAATATTTATGATCATGCAGAAGAATGAATAGAGTCTGGAAATTTGATGCATGTTTGATTTTTGTGTGCAGTTAGAACTTAAAATGTGTCTGAAAATGGAGTAAAGATTGTGGTTCTGCTGGGTTTTATTTCTAGATATTTTATTATTTTCATGTAGAAACGCTGCTTTGTGATGTTTTATTAAATTTTTCTTTCATTATATTTTAATGCTGACAGTTTGAATGTCAAATCATCCAGAAAGTAGGAAAAGTATTTGAAATAGAAATGAGTCTGAGCTAAAATGAGCATTTGTGGGTCAGAAACGGATCATTTAGTTTAGCTGAACCCATCAGTACTTTTAGTTTCCCTGAAGTAGATTTTTACCAGACGGATTAAAAGACGTTAATATTCTAACAAAAGAAACCGGAGCCTTGATGTAGCTACAGATAATGCATAAATGTTTTATTGTTTCATGAAAAAGATTCTGTACAGATTGTTTTACAAAAAGTCATTCTTAAATGTGACCTTTTTTAAAAAAATGGATAAACAATCATTAAACAGTTAATAACAGGTGCTATCAAACAAAACTACTTACAAACTGAATGGAAATGTTAACTGAATGCATACACTGTTGAGTCCAACCCGTGGTTCTGGTTCTGAGCGGGGAAGTGTGACAATGCCTCGTAGGAAAATGGACCGTCACTGGTTCTGGTTGAGACGGGTCAGCTCAGGTTCAGCACTCGGGTTCCCCTCCGGATCGTCCCGTCCGTCATCAGTAGTACGAGCTGAGGTGGGAGTGCGCGGCCGGGTGTCGGGTCATGGCCGACCCGGGGTAGATGGGGCTGCTGGCCGAGTTCCAGTACGGCGACGGGGAGCCGAAAAAGTTCCCGGGGGAGACGGACATGGGAGCGGGATGTCCGCCCATGAAGTTCATTTTGGGCTGGTGGCTGTGGTACTGCTGGACGTAAGACATCTCAGTCTGGTACTTGACGAGGCCACCGTCCGCCCCGTGGTTCTGGTGCGCCTGCGAGATTCCCTGGAAGTCGAACTTGTATGCGTAGCGCTTGCCGTGGACCTTGGTCATGATGTTCTTGTCGTAGTAGTAGCGCAGGGCGCGGCTCAGCTTGTCGTAGTTCATGTTGGGCTTGCTCTTGCGCTCGCCCCAGCGCTTGGCCACCTCGTCCGGGTCGGTCATCTTGAACTCGCCGTTGGTGCCCTCCCAGGTGATGATGGCGGCGTTGTTGCTGTCGGACAGCAGCTCCAGCAGGAACTGCCACAGCTGGATCTGACCGGAGCCTGGCGGGAGACACGGAGCGTTAGGCCAGGGCGGGACGACGGCGGTTCGGACCAAAACACTCAAAATGTCTGAACTCCAAGTCAAAACTTACAGGAGAAACGTCTGATTTTCTGAGCTAGTAAAGCAAAAAAATGTTCAAATGTCAAAGTTGACACGACGAACTTGGAAAATCTGTTTGATTTAATAAAAAAGACACTAATATCTAAATTTGAGTTTTTTTTCTGGCAAACGTTCAACTTTGTTCAAAGTATTTTTTCTAGAAATCTCAAACTTTCTGTTTAACTTTTCAAGCTCAGAAAGAGTTTTTCTCTGTGGTTTTTCTCACATTGTCGACTTTTAGAGCTCAAGGAATTTGCTTGTTCTAGAATTTCTGAGATTAATATAAACTGAGTTTTTGGTGAAACTCCTTTTATCCTAATATCTACTATGGCCCTAATAAGCTGCCGAACAGGTTTATTCCTTCTCTTCATCTTAAGCCTTAAACAGACGAGCAGCCACCTCAGACGGCTCTATGAGGTCAGAGGTCATTCATTTCACCAAATGTGACCTTTTCACTGTGAGGCTTGGAGGAGCAGCAGGAAGCTGGGGCAGAAACCTACCCACAGGCCTGTGAGCGCTGGGGTCAGGCAGCTTGTACGGACTTTGTTTGCCTGTTCGGTTCTTGGTTGAGCTCAGGACTTGGCCTTCTGTGAGGAAACAGAAGGGCAAACGGTCACTTTGCTGAGACGGACGCCAAGTTTGGAGTCCGGCTGAATAGTCGGAGGTTTGTGAAGGAGTGAAATGACCTGGAAGTGTCTAAACAGCCTCGATAAGAGCTGCACGGCTTCTATACATGTGGAGGAAATGAGCTTCAATGCTTCCTAGATCATCTGAGGAAATGGCGGACCGTCTTTCACGGATGAAACTTTGAAGGAGATTATGGTCTGACTGAAAGCAGTCGCGCTCCTGTGGATTGTAAATTTTCTCCTAGAAAAAGGTCAAAGGTTGAGGAGAACGTGACGGGATTGGAAGTTTGACTATTCAGCCGGATGCTTGGTCTTAACTCTGCCAGCCCTTTTCTTGCTTGTTTTGAAGTAATTCAGCCAAAGCAGACAGTGTAAAGGCCTCATTGGTTTCATGTCAGTGTTTTGTGTTTGCTGCTTTGGGAGCCGTACCTGGATTGGCCAGCCGGCTGCTGATCGGCCCCAACGTCTGATACGGGTCTGCAGAAAAGAAAGCAAAGGATTTGAAACATTTTTACTTCATTATTTCTTCAGGTTTCACAAAGTTCTCATTCTGGATCTGATAAAATCAGAAAACCTGGTTACCATTTGGTGTTGTTTTTTGTGGCCATATCAAAATTAATTTGTTTTGCGAAACTGCAATGGAAACTGTTTTTGCGTCATGAGTCACATGGTCAGCAGCCAGATGTTGACGCCATGAAGACAGGAAGTAGCAGCAGGAGGAGGTTTATCACATGAACAAACTTATTCATGTGTGATTTGAATTTATTTGATGTAGTGGGACATGAACACACCGTTGCACAGACCATCAACTCTCACCAAGTTGATGGTCTGTGAGATTTTTTAGGATCTCCTGAAATCAAGGAGAACCATCTTACAACAACCTGGGCTTTTTGTAACTTTGTGTTTCCGTCAAAGCCACCGGGGCTTCAGTGGAGCCAGAACCTGTTTGTACCTTGGATGATTCTGGCCGTTGGATCCGTCACCCTGCTGTTGTGGTCGATCGGAGAACCTGGAAACCGAAGATGGATGTGTTGCATATGAAGCTGTTCGACCATCCGCTGCAAAACGTTTTATGCAAACGTGGTTGTGTTCATGGGTGAGTGAACGTCACACGGCCGGCCCCGCTGCCTACCTTTGGGCACCGCGGGCGTCATGGTGTTGGTCGGCCAGCTGTTCCTGCGGCTGATCTCATCAAAACTGCTCTCTGCAGCAACACAAAGAGGGAAAAATGGACGAACTGCATGTTGGTGCCAAACGTGTTTGAAGTGAAGCCGGCTCTGCTGGGGAAGGAAGCAACCGGAGACCGACCCGATAAGAGCAGAGCTCTGAAGATGACCCAGACGCTCTTCTTGGGTGAGCCTGCTTTTGTTTCGGGCCACCAGCAGATGAAATGGATTGTGTCCCAGGAGCAGGACCCATACCCCCCATTTCCTGTGACGGCGCAGCTGTTTCCTGTCTGAAACTGGCTGTTGAGTTTTGGACTCGTCACAGTTTTTGTCAACAGCAGTTTGTGCCGTGCAAAGAAGCCCTTCAGCCCTTCGATACCGTGTTAACATGTTTCTGAAACTCAACACGTTATTCTTAGATCCCTAAATCAATCAAGAAAGTTCCTTACAGCTTTTCTCTGCGTTTTATTTCACACTACACCGCGTGACTCACAGGAAATGGTGGCAGTTGTGAAATGCAGAAAGATCTTTGCATGAATTTGAATTGTGCAAAGTTCGAAGTGACTCCTTTCCCTTGAAGGGAAGTTCTTCTAACCCGTCCAGCAGATAGACAGCCTGACATAGCCGTTCTGCAGCTCATCCTGCAGAACATCCACATCATTAACACTCCATCTACCCGTTTAAATAAAGATGTTGGTGGATCTCTGTGGCCTTTGAGTCGTATTTAACTGAGCCGTACGTTTCCAGGATGTTACTCATTCTGCTCAAACGTGTGAAACTCGGCGCCGTTGGCGCGCGTTCAGCCGAAGCTGCTGGCTGAAGTTTTCCTCCGTACCTGGCAGGTAAATGTTAAAACACTGAATCAGTGTTTGGGTGAAGCTGACCACAGACCGTCTTCCTCCATCTCACCCCAACCGAAGCCTCTGCTAACCTCAACCTGTGCATCAGGAACCATTCTGTGGTCTCCGCCTTCTTCCTCCCTGCCAGCTTCTCCATTAATATTTGTCTTCTGTGAAGGTCCAAACCCAACTTTCACCAGCGTTTGACTCCAGGAGCTTTAATTATTCAGTTCCTCCATTTCCTGCTTCGTTTTCTCACTAAGCGTCAGAGTTTTGATTTGTGAACATTAGAGATGAAACAAAACCTCCAAATCACCTCAATCAGTCCGTCAAACAGGATTGGACTCAATAATTCAGCATGAAGTCAGATTTCCCTTCAGAGGTTTGGAGTAAATCTGAACCTCCTAGATAAACCGAACATGAGCTGCTTCCCTCAAGACAAGACAAAATAAATGAATTGAAGCGCAGACACTTTTCAGACTGTTATGGAACTAAAAATTTCCACAGGACATTTTTTGTCTTGAAATTGTTTTAGTGTTGAATTAAAACAAAGTTTAGTAATTTGACTGTTTAAAAAGAAAATAAAAATATGAACTTCAGATCTTGGAGAAACCTGGAAGCCAGTAATAGTCAGAAGAATCCTGGCTGATGGTTCTGGTTCTGCCCCAAACGGGTTTCTATAAAAAATGTTCTTCAAACTAAAGTCTGAATTCAAAGTGACATAAAGATGCTTAAAATCAGAGATTTTCTGTCCCAAACACTGAGAAATGAGAAGTAGAAAAGTTCTCATATTGAAAGACTAAACTGATTTTCCGCAGCTTTAGTTGGTTTCTTGCTGCCAACATGCAGGTAGAAATGTAAACAATATCAAACATAAATACTGTCGAGGCTGAATACCTGGGGCCAAACACCCATCATGCAACTGAGGGAAAAATTTGCTTGCACTCCAAAAATTGACCAAAGGATTTTTTATTTTTGTTTTTTTAGGTAAATGATGTCACAATGTTTGAACTCTTTTAGAAATGGGAGGAGTCGAGTTCCTCAGAAGCTAATATAAAAGGCTGCATTTTGATTTTCGTGTGATGTAAGTGGAAATCTCACCTGCTTTCACTTGCAGCCTGGGCTGTGGAGGCTGCGGTGGAGGCGTGTTGTTGGTGGGCGTTGTGGAGTACGAGAACGTGGGGCTACCTGAGGCGACACATGAAGCAGAAAACTGAAGTTTTTCCTGCTCCAAACGTCTGAATCCAGAAATGAGCCGTAAGTTTGCAGCCTCAGCTGGAGTTACTTCTTGAAAAGAGGCTGAAGTGCAACTGCTGCAGTGATTTGCAGAAGCTGGATCAGCTGCATCGATGGAAACATGATAGTCATGCAGCAAAAGTCACATTCATCATGAACCTGCATGTTCACCAGGCTGAGGAGTCGACAACCACAAATGTCGTTTCCAGTGCAGCAGTTCACAGCTTCATGCATCTGAAAACGTTCTGCTGCAAACATCTTCACACTGCCGCATGTGAGAATGTTCAGTTTGATTTCTACCACTTATCAAACTATTTTAATTATGATGTGCAAGAAAAATCTTTGTTTTTTTGCTGAATTAAAGGTTAATCTTAGTTTTCTAACCCTGAAGAATGCTCCAATAAAGACTCAGCTGATTTTCAGCTTCATCTCTGAATAATGAAGTGAAGCAGAGCAGGACTGTGGGCGGAGCGGGTCTTACTCTGCCGGAGGTAATTGAGGTGAGACAGCAGGATGTCTGCGTTGTAGGCCGACGTCAGCCGCATCATGTCGTCTTTGGTCATCTTGCACAGCGCCTTGCCGTCCAGCGCCTGGAAGAGCGAGACGTCCACCTCTTCCAGGACATACTCCTTGATGGCCCAGTCCAACCACTGCCGCACGTGGTCCTGGGTCCAAACCTCAGGGTCTGCAGAGCAGGAGGAGGAAGAGCTGCATGAATAATTTGAATTATCATAAAGTACCGAATAGAAACAGGAGCAGCAGAGATTTTCTACCAATAAGATGCAAGCTAATCATGCTAATTCATGATCATTCGTTTGTATTTTGAGACACGTTGACATCAGTAAAGTGAAGCAAAAGGTGGAGTCATGCAGAGATGCTGAGCGGCAGCATGAATGCTGAATAACAGTGGAAAACCCTGATGCTTGTGATTCTGATTATGATGATGAGATGTGAAAACAAAAGACTCCGGCCTTGACATGCTTAGACCTGCAATATTTTATCAGTTCAAACATAAACATACCTTAATATGCATCAACATCTAGTCTTTATCTCTAAGTAAAATGAATGGTGCACCTGTAAGTGCAGCCAATGTTACAGATTCATTGACGTCACATTTAAGGATTTCAGCTGAACAAGCTGCACTGAGTTCTGACCGATGATAACAGGAAAGAATTTCAAATGGCTGCAGGATGTGAAAACGGTCTGGAGTCATTTCTCGACATCGTGGGTTGAACTGCAGGTCCGGTTGATCAGGTGTGATCCCATCAGAGCTCAGCGTCACGATCCACAGGGGAGAAATATTAAAACAATGGCCAAGATCTGCATGGCTGAATGCAGAAAGAATATTTATAGATTCAAAGTGAGTCATCTGTAAATCCAAGAACACTGTGGGAAACACGGTGGTGGCAGCATCATGATGTGGGACAGAAAACTTAATTCTTTACCGAGTCAGAATCCTGATCCAACATCAAACTGGATTAAATGGAAACAGGATTGAGATTAATTTGATTATGTAATAAAGATGTAGACACATTCCACTTGTAAAGGCACAATTTCTGATATTTTTACAATTTTTTAAAAGTATATGTTTATGCACATGAACTTTATAATTGTCATTATTCTTTATAAAACACTTCATTTTACTTTTAAAAGTTCAAATAAACTATTTTAGTCACAAAATGTTGGTAAAAAAAATTGGATAAAAAATGTACCCCAATAGTTATCAAAATAATTTTCATATCAAAGGTAATCTGAGTAAACGGATTAATTTCTATTAAGAGAAACACAGAACTCCAAACCATGAAAACTAAATCATCCTTCTGTTAATCATAACTGTGATTAACTCTGATTTTTGTAAATCAGTTTAATTTTACTGAGGCCTGATTAAAAGGTTAAAATATTCCATCTGAGCGGTTTGGGTTTAGGTGCTCTTACTTTTCACATACAGCCTGATTGGTTTAGTTTATTAAATGAAACCATCATTTATTAATCAACTTTTTTATTGATTTATGTTTCCTTCAGCATTTCAGTGACCAAAAAGCAAAACTAGAAAAAGTCTGTCTGAGGGTGTGAATACTTTTTCACCAAAATGTGACAGAATTTTACAATTGAGTATGAATGAAGACACGATGAATGTTATCTGCATGTTGACTCATTACATCTGCTGTGGATTATCATGAGGAATGTTTGAGTTTTTCTGCCAGTAGAACTTGAACTGGACCAGTGGAATGTTTCCAGTGTGATTCAGGACGCGGTTTCCAGAAGCGAACAATGCGGCCGTCATGTGAACGACCTGTGGAGCTGGACGGCGGCTCGAGGGGCGCCACGCCCTGGGCAGCTGATTGTTTCGCTCAACACATGCAGCCTGACGCAACATCCGGCCATTATGGAGCAGAAAGACGCGGCTGGTGACTCAGTCTGAGGCAGGACAGCGCGACCCGCAGCGAAACTACAGACAGCAAATGACTAACGGGTTTTAAAAGCTGGAATGAATCAGAGATATTCCTACAAAGAAAACTGGAAATGCATCTGAAAACTTCCAGAATTTATACCAACTTTTCTCCATATTTATGCTTTTTATTTCAATCTGATTTTATAGTTTAATGTCTGCTGCTAAAGCTACAAGCTGGTTGTGTTTCTCACTTTAACAACAACTGAACCACAATAACAAAAACTGACACATTTAAGGAAGTGAGGATTTAAACTGCAGGTTTTCACTAAAATACAGAAACAAGCTTGAAAAACTCGACTAAATCTGGACTGAAGGTTTTCTGGCTGATGACAGCACACCAGGCAGCTCTGGCTGATGACATCACACCTGGCGGCTCTGGCTGATGACATCACACCGGAGGCTCCGCTCTGACCCGCTGTAACTTCTTATGTTTGACTCTTAGTTTTAGTTTATTCATTTCAAATTCTAATTTAATTTTAAACGAGATAGGCAGACATAAAAACTTATTTTGTCCTTTCATTTCTACATTACATTTTATATTATTTGTTTAAAAAACAAAAAAGAAGATACTCTGAGTTTCAGGTGTTAAGAAAAGTAGAAATGTGATGGAAAACGGTGAGGAGTAAAGATGGAGGCCGTCAGACGTTTTTAGGTCATGTGACCTGAGCCTGTTGTGATGTCATCAGAAGCAGAAGTTTTACAATAAAATGCAAAACCAAATGAAGATGATTTGTGGGAAACAAACCCTCACACACTTCTCCTGTTTGAGCTTTTTTAAATTTTCCTGTGTTTAAGCAGGTAAACCCACTGACATCCAGATCTCATTTGATCCCATTTGATCTAATTTGATCTCATTTGATCCCATTTGATCCCATTTGATCTAATTTGATCTCATTTGATCCCATTTGATCCCATTTGATCTCATTTGATCTCATTTGATCCCATTTGATCCCATTTGATCTCATTTGATCCCATTTGATCCCATTTGATCTCATTTGATCTCATTTCATCCCATTTGATCCCATTTGATCTCATTAGATCTCATTCGTTTGTTTTTCACCAGCAGCCTCCGGATCTCTGCCGGGCTGGAACCGTCTGACAACACCAAGCGGTTCTGACTGGGCCTCCAGTTCCCATGGATGGCTGACCCACCAGCACCACTGCAAGAAGGACATCTAGAGCCTCAGTGCCTCAGTTAAGGTCAGAGGTCATGATTCAACAGTCAGAGAGAGCGGTTAGCTTCAGGGGCCAAAAACTTTTGGCCCCATCATTATCATGATGATAATTTAAGAAATACTTTTTGGTTTACTGTCAGAAAAAGAGCGGATCAATGACTAAGCCTGTCACAATAATTAATAATCAATAATGAAGAAATCAATCACATGATCATTTGAAAGAAACACATTAATTTCCATTTACATAATTTATCATTTTCTGTTTCTACCAAAAACTGGATGATAAAAATCTTCAGTTTGAAGTCAACAAAGACTTTTATTTTGAAGGTCAGTTTTTTACATTAATTTGATTTGATGTTTCTGTTGTTTTGGCTTTTGACTTATTTAAAATGTCTTCCTGCTCCCATATTAACGCTTATTGATCTTTGATGATTATTACGTCACCATAGTGAAAATGGTCTCACATCATTAATATCGTTAATCTCAATAAATACTGAAAGATTCAAAACTTATGTGACAGCTGTGACTTTCATAAAACCTTATGATGTATTAAGAAGCATCAGATGCAGCTTATTTATATTTATTTCTTTACGGAACAGAGACGTGAAGCTAAAGTCGCACGGGCCGCCGCTGATTCAGTCGCCAGCGGTTGGGAAACGGCGCTGTGACCCCGGGGGGCGGCGGGCCTCACCTGCCGGGACGATGACCCTCTTCTCCTCGGTGGGGTTGCTGCTGGGCGGGGTGCCGGTCTGCGGGCTGACCCGCGGCTCCGGGTACGACGCCTGGTACGGCAGCGGCGCCCCGTCGCTGCTCATGTGGCGGGACCGTTTGGTGACGCTGCAGTCCACCGGAGACCCGCGGCTGAAACACACCCGGTTCCCATCATTACTGCAGGTGTTTGATCTGAGCTCATTAAACCCGGAGGGGGGAAAACTGCGGCTGCTAATCTCTGGCTGCAGAGAAGATTTGCAATATTAGTGCATTTCCTCTTGCAGTGTTTTATCTGTTGGTGACAGGAGATAAAATTAGCTTCTATCTGAACTCAACGTTTCCACAGAGCGAGTGACCGACACAAAATGACTTCAACCACACGAACAAGTTTTATTTTTAGCCACCAAATTTCACCACCAGCAGTTTTTTCCTTTCCTTTGTCAACAGGTAAAAACTCCACATCCTTAGTTTTAGTCATATTCTAATGACAATAATCTTTATTGATCAGTTATCATTAATTTGCTTCCAAAGAAGCGCAGAGACATGAACTCTCTATCTGACAGTTAGATATGAGAGCTGAGTCAGTTTTTTGCTTCACAGGAAGTTTGATGTTCATGTTGCAGGAAAAGCAGCTTAAAGCTGCAGACAGAAACATTGCAGCCATTTTAGTTCCATATTGATCCATACAGCCAGATCACATTTCACTGAGATTAAACCGAGACAATTTATGAAAATAAAGAGATTTAATTCTCAACCATTTACTATTCAACATGCTAGTTTAGTATCAAATGCATCCAGTTTTATTTGTAAATTGTTGCCATGGCAGCAGCAGGCCGTTAGTAATGACTTCCTCTGACAGCCATAATGTGAATTCCTGCAGCTCAGGTTAAAAACAGAACAAAGAAACAATCGGATCCGTTTGGATCCTGAACAGTAAACAAGGAATTTGTGTCTGGAAAAACCCGGGTGTCCGCCATCCGGGAACCCGCCCCCCCGCCGCCGGCCCTCTGCGCGGCCCTGGCCTGACTCACCTGGTCCCGTTGACGTGCTCGGATCTCTTGCCGGGGTTCTGCGCCGCCCACTCCGACTCGGCGGGCTCGGGGCTCGGCTTGGAGGCCTGGCTGAAGCCGCCAGGTGACGTCATCTCGCTCTTCATGTGCATGGCGGGCGCCGCCGAGAAGTTCGGCTCGAATATGGGCTGATCTTCAGTCACCACAGAAAGCGCTTCCTGTCCAACACAGAACCGGAACACGGTCAGAACCGGAACAAGATCCATGAGGCCCAGTTTGGTCCAACAGGGTTGGTTTTTATTTTGAGATCAGATTTTCTCTGGGAATTTAGATAAAAATGAGAAAATCATCTTAATGTGGTTTACTAAGTTTTCAACAGAATACATTTTAAATTTGAATCCATGACATTTTTACTTTATAAAATGAATTTTATAAAGTTTTTCTCGCTAACTAAAGATGCTAAAATATGAATTTACTTCTAAACAATTCAAACATTTGTGGGGAATAATTTGAGTAGAGATGGATTCAGGGTCCAGTCAGGGAACCAGATTCAGTAAGGGAACCGGGTCCAGTAAGGGAACCGGGTCCAGTCAGGGAACCGGGTCCAGTCAGGGAACCGGGTCCAGTCAGGGAACCGGGTCCAGTATGGCGCAGCTCTGCCATGTCCTTCCCCTTGTGCCTGTTCTCTGTCTCACTTCGTGTAGCATAGGAGGAGCAGCTTGTGAGTAAAAACGCTGGACCCGCTTCCCGTTATTCACATGAACAGATTCTGGTTCTTCTGTTTTCCTCATTAGGGTTCAGTAACACAAACATCCCACAATAGCTAACGGCTAATCGGCTACAAGCTCTTTGGGCTTTTAAACAGAAATGTCATAATAATTTTTAATGATCTAAAAACATTTGACTTATTACTGTGAGTAATAAGTTAAATCATTTGAAGCCTTTAATATTTAGATATTTGACCTGAGTGTGAAAAGACTGGAGATGATTTGGTTTCTGTGCTGCAGGCTAACTGTTAGCTTTAGCCTCCAGAAACGGCTCATCTGTGTTTATTTTGCTTTTTGAACTCAGAATTTCCTTTCAACATACAAATATTCTAAAATGTTGATCAATAAACACGACTTCCAGACCGGATTCAGGAGAAAATTAAGTGAAATGCGTCATTTTTACGGGTTTGGGTGTTTCATTGAAACTTGGACTGGACCGTGACTTCTGACTGATAAAAACATGAAGTTTAAAATGGTCCAGGAAGCGTTGCTGGGTGTTTAGGGTTAGCCGCCGACCCGGCCTGGGCTCAGTTTGGACCCAACAGGTCCAAACTCTGTTGGGTTTATCCAAGTAAAGGAACTGGACCTTTTTATTCCAGTTCTGTTTCTCAGTACATTATAAATTGACCAAAACCTTAGAAAGGTCATGAACCCTGGGAAACTATCTGAGGTTTGGGCTTTTCTGCATAAAATAAGAAATAAATCATAAAACCTTTTTCTGTTTCTTGTTGGGTTTTGAAAGCTTGTACTGTTATCGCCATGGAAACTCTCTCTGGCAGGTTGCAGGAAATGATGAAAATCAAACTTTGATGAATAAATGAAGTTATTTTCATCTTTAAAATCGGACGTTTTTAGACTTTATCTTTTCTTTTGCTTGAATGAATATTTAAAAACTGCCGAAGTTTCTTTCGACCGGAGTGACTCTGTGGTTCTGATCAGCGCCGACCCGGACCGGGTGGGTTAGCTTTCACACCCTGACCAGAACTGAGCCACTGTCTGGCGATGCAGACGGAGGTTCTGGTTCTGACTGGTCCAGTTGCTGCAGCAGAACCACATGTCTTTCCTGTGATCCTCCACCTGCGTTTTAATGTCAGTTTCTTCAGACAAACACAGTAAAAGGTTCTGGGTTCTGCAGCTGCCTCCCAGTCCAAACACTGCCAGATTAACTGAGATTACAGGGATTAATCTGGATTCTGTTTGACTGATTTGGACCTCAGATGGCTCCTGGTACAGATTTGGAAGACCGGACAGAAAATGGTGTTATGTTCAGGTCCGCTCTGAGCTGGACGGAGTTAAAACCTGTCGGCTTCGTTTCCTCTGAACGATGGAAGGAGACTCTGCTGAACCGCTGCAGGTTTTCAAGCTTCTAAGAAAAACTCTGAGCAGCGACGTGAGAAGCTTGGTGCTCAGAAATAGTGTGAAAGCAGCCAGCAGGTTTTCTAATCTCATGTGTCATCAGTAACCTTAACCACACTTTTATTTAGTCGTTAGGATCGAGGGTTGCTGCAGGGGGAGGGTGAAGCTCAGGGCGGAGTCTAATTCAGATTTAACTCCGTCTTCCTGTGTTCCTCTACAAACCGCCCTGAGATGGCACTTCCATCCAGCGACCCGTTCTTCTTCTCTGCTCCTCAGATGGAGGCGGTGGGGGCTGGGGGTGGGGGTGTTTGTTTAGAGGAGCCCAGCATTGTCTTCAGGCCTTGTACGTCAGCGCTGAGCTCTTTCAGTGGCCTGCAGGAAGCCGGGCCGCCATGTGCACAGGAACCTTTTGGCACAGGCCAAGGGAGAGGAAATGGAGGGGAGGGGCACAATGTACGAATGTGGGTCATTTTAAAGCTGCAAAACAACTCTGAAAAAAGTTGGGGGGAGAGGGCTCATTGGACAGAAAGGAGAGCTGGGCCCGTTTGAAGTGCCGCCATGGCATTGTTCTCTCTTTGTGTTGTTGTGTTTTTAGCTCAGTTGCTGCCTGAACACTGGAAACCACAACTTACTGCCTGGCAGCAGCCGTTCAGGCGGCAGCCGTTCAGGCGGCTCTGCAGCGCTGCAGTGTGTGTGATCTGCTGCAGCCTGCAGAATCAGGAGCTTCACGTTCACATTCAGCTTCAGATGAGTTGGTGATGCAGTAACTCGGTCTGTGAGGCTCCGCCCCCTGCAGGTTGACCAGGCAGCACCTGCTGCAGGCCTCAAACATCCTGCAGAGCCCTGATAACATGTTTCACGTTTCTGTATCAACGTATTGGAGCTCAGCGAGGCCTGAAAGATGACTTCTTTGTTCAGAGGCAGCAGAACCAACATGGCCGGGTTCATGAGCTTCAACTTCTAGAACCTTAAGATCCATTTAACCCAGAAAAATCCAGAGCTGCTCAAATAAAAGCTACAAAGGCTTTTAACTTGGCTGAACCAAACCCCCGCTCCTAAACACACACACACACACACACATACACACCCACACACACACAGATACACACACACACATACACACACACACACAGAGACACACACAGATACACACACACAGACACACACACACACAGACACACACACACACACCTACACACACACACACACACCTACACACACACACACACACACACACACACACACACACACACAGTCTCACACACACACACACAGTCACACACACACACACACACAGTCTCACACACACACACACACAGTCACACACACACACACACAGACACACACACACACACAACTACACACACACAAAAGCTGCACCAGAAATGCGTTTATTTAATTTAATTTAATTTTTTAGCAGATCTCAGAGTGAAAACTAAAGACTCCATGACCTAAAAGCGACACAAACTGATGGATCTGAAAGCGTCACACACACAGTCTCACACACACACACACACAGTCACACACACAGTCACACCACACACACACACACACACACACACACACACACACAGTCTCACACACACACGCACACAGTCACACACACACACACAGTCTCACACACACACACACACAGTCAACACACACACACACCGACACACACACACACACACAACTACACACACACAGTCACACACACAGTCTCACACACACACACACACAGTCACACCACACACCACACACAACACACACACACAGTCACACACACACACACACAGTCACACACACACACACACACAGTCTCACACACACACACACAGACACACACACACACACACTACACACACACAGTCACACACACAGTCTCACACACACACACACACAGTCACACACACACACACACACACACACACACACACCACACACACACACACAGTCACACACACACACACACAGACACACACACACACACACAACTACACACACACAGTCACACACACAGATACACACACACAGACACACACACACACATACACACACACACACAGACACACACACAGATACACACACACAGACACACACACACACAGACACACACACACACACACCTACACACACACACACACACACCTACACACACACACAGTCACACACACACACACTCACACACACAAACTACACACACACAGTCACACACACAGATACACACACAGACACACACACACACAGAGACACACACACACACACAGACACACACACAGACACACACACACACAGACACACACACACACAGAGACACACACACAGACACACACACACAGACACACACACACACACACACACACACACACACACACACACACCCAGACACACAAACACACACACACACCTACACACACACACACACCTACACACACACACCCCCACACACACAACTACACACCCACACACACACAACTACACACACACACACAGCTAAGGCTGATCTGTGATTCGTTGCATCAGAACGGTCAGACGTGTAATTTTTGTGCAACAATTCTTCAAATGCAAACTGGAGCATCATTTATATAATATTTAATATTAGAACATTTTTCAACATTACAAAATAAAAATGGAAATCTGTCAACATTTTCATCTCTGAACCATCTAAAGGTTTAGTCTGAATGTTTTTCCATGTCTGGATGTTTCAGGGTTGATCAAACTTTTTATGATGTTTTGATTAAATTAAAATCATCTCAAAGTTTTTCAAGTTTTCAAACTGCTTGAATTTTTCCTCATTTCTTCACAACAAACTTGAGCGATTTTACCAGACGAGCACAAAGTGGAGTAGAAGGAAAATGATTCATAGACGTCATGAATCTGAAAGTGTGGCATGCTCTCCAGAGTGGACAATTTACAGAACCGCCTGGTCCGATCTTTTCTTCAGAACCTCAGGCAGACTGGATGGAGAGCTGAACATCTCTCCTCAGATCCTCAGTGGTGATTAGGTCTGGGCTTTGAGTAGGCCAGTCTGTAGCTCTGGTTTTCCTCCAGGACTGAACTGTCCCACAGCATGATGCTGCCACCGCCATGAGGAGGGATATGCCGTGTTGAGGTTCGGTTATAAACCAAACTTCTGGCCTAACATCCTTAACGGTTCGGGTCTGCAGGGTTGCCTGACCCGCTGCTGGTTCTGTAATGTTCCAGCAAACAGAAACTTTTCTCTGTAACGTGACAAATGCAGCGAAAGTTCAAGGAGCGAGAATCAGTCAGAGATTCTGCTAAACTTTCATCTTCGATTAAAAAACTGACCTTGAAAGTTTCACTGGCCAGTAAACAGGAATCTGAGTGACTCCATTCATGTTCCTGTTACAGGTGAATAAAAATCAACTGCTGCTCCAGGGGAAGATGTGTGTGTGGATACACACACGTTTACTCAACACAACAAGAAACGACTGAAGAGTTAAAAGTTTTTGGTAACAAAGCAACACAAGTAACAGAGTAACTGATGGAAACATCAATTATTTAATATTTCCAAATGACATCATCAGATGGACCAAAATATAAAGTTATATGGAGATTTGAAATGAAGATGGAGATGAAAATAATTCATATAGATTACATATTTATAAAGTAACAGAATCAGGCAAATAAAAAAATCCAAATTCAATTCTTTCAATATAAAGTTTATAAACTTTAACAAAACCTGCAGGTTTGTTCTTCCTCCAGTGAACAAAACTAATGATGCTTAATAAAGTTATTCAATAAAAGTAAAAAGTACTTAGTTCCTCTAAAACTGACTGAGCTGCAGTTTCCAGCTGACCGGTGATAATCGGTGATAATCGGTGATAATCGGTAATAATCGGTGATAATCATGATAATCGGTAATAATCGGTGATAATCGTGATAATCGGTCAGCCTTCCCCTGCCTGCAGCCTCTTCTTCTCTCTGCAGAAGTGAAACTTTGGCCTGAAGTCCTGATAAAACTGGTTGTGACTCCAGAGCAGTGAAGCCTGAGGAGTTTATGGAGTTGAGCCGTTTTGCTCTGCAGGGTGAAGAGGAATCAGGTTTGCGCCTTCATGCGTCTCTGCGTCTTTCTGCACACTGATACAAATATACCAAACTGTGGCCTGACCGCCGATGCCACAACTGACTTCCTGTTCAATGTGTTTTAGGCTGTTGCTCGGTGACACAAAAACAACTTTATAAAAAACAACATGACCCTGTTGAGGCAGAAACTGATGTCCTAAAAATTCTCTGCGCTGCAGCGCGACACGTTTCACCTGCTGCAGCTCGACACGTTTCACCTGCTGCAGCTCGACACGTTTCACCTGCTGCAGCACAAACACCGAGTCCTGCGTGGAAACACGGAGCCAACATGGCTGCGCTGCCAGCGGCGCTGCAGGTTGCATCATGCATGTCGCCCAAAGCAGCAGCGGCTGCAGCAGCATCGGCAGCAGCTGCAGCAGGAGCCGCGGCTGCAGCCAGTCTTAGTGATCTTTAGGATTAAGAAGCAGAAAGAAGCAACAACGCAGCTAACAGTTTTAAAGCATAATTATTATATTCCTGGAAATATGTATTTATTTTAATTGCCCAGGTCGTTCATGACAATAATTTATTTAATCAGACTCACCTGGTTAAATAAAATATATATAAAAAAATAAAAACATTTTCCAAAACTTCTCTTTGTCGTCAGGATTTAGTTTTCAATTATGTTCCAGTTTATTTAAAATCATATACTTTCCTTATTTTATTCCGATAATCTACTAAAAAATTTGTTTTGAATAATTGAATCTATAAAATTTAGTACAAATTTTACTATAAATGTATGAATTTATTTTATTTAATTGTCAGAAAAGAGAAAAGAACAATTTGATATTTTTAAACTTAAAAATATTTATGGCAAGACAGATATAATAATAATAATAATAATAATAATAATAATAATAATAATAATTAATAATAATAATAATAATAATAATAATAATAATAATAATAATAATAATAGAAAGTTTCACCTTCTGAAAGTGTTACCTCTCATTTCTTTTTTGTAAATAAATAAATTTCTGCATTAAAAGGTGCAGCAGCTCCAGCAGCTGCTGCAGCTGCTGCTGCTGCAGCTCTGGATGTTCAAGTGAAGAAGGAAGGACTTCCTCCAGGAGCTCAGCTTGTGGTTCAGTTTTTCTTCTTGCATAAAAACCGCTTTCAGATCCATCAGTTTGTGTCGCTTTTAGGTCATGGAGTCTTTAGTTTTTCACTCTGAGATCTGCTAAAAAATTAAATTAAATTAAATAAACGCATTTCTGGTGCAGCTTTTTTCAGACACAATTAGTGAAAATGTTTTAGATCAACTGGAGGTTCTGGATTTGGTTTTTATTTCAGAAAATCTAAATTATTTGAGGATTTTTTTCTCTTTCCGAAGCTAAAAGTTTGATCTCCTGGTTCTGAAATCCTCATTTGGATTCTTAAAATGTAGATTTCAAATGTTTGAACTCATTTGTTCCTGTTGTGATTAAAGCTGAATTTATTGAGCAAATGGAGGCAGCAGGCCGCGGAGGGAGTTGTGTAAAGGCGCAGCCCTGCATGGCGCAGAAAGCAGAAGTAAAAGTCGCAGAGCTGAGTGTGCAAAAGGCCTGAGCGGCAGCGCGGCTCGCTGCGGGCTTTTCTCTGCGCGGCCCGGTTCGGTTCGTCCACCGACTCTTTCTGCGCGGCCTTTGTTGCCTTTCTGATTTTTTTAACGGTGAATAAATGTGTGTGTGTGTGTGTGTGTGTGTGTTCTCGGGTCCAGGGTGCGGAAATGTGTGCGGAAAGTCTGAGGTTTGAGACAGGAAGCCTGCAGAGTTCAGATAACGACACCTGACAGGCTCCAGTTTGCTGCCATAAATTCTTCTTAAAATAAACCCGCAAACACAATAAGAATAATCATCTGGAAAATAATAATCAGCCAACATTCCCGCAGCCGCAGCAGAAAGTAGGAACAAGTTCAAATGAAACGAAGTTCAATCACACGCTGTTAAATCCAACCGAACCCAGAAATGGGTCAGAACCTTTTAGTTTGTAGGAAAGAAAACACGAAACGAGACAAATATTAGTTCCTCAATCTGAGGGATTATTTTGTAGAGAAACTTTCATTTTCTGATTTTACATGAAAATATTACAAAGGATTTTAGTTCAAGCCGATAAAATCATCTCCAAATAATACAAAATAAATTAGTGATGTAGTTTTAAATAAACAGTTTACATTTTATTTATCAAGACTGAAATATAAACATCATTTCCATCTGCTGTGAATATTTTAGCTGAAACTCAAACTGATATATTTCAGATGAACTTCTACATTTTTCACTTTTTCTCCTTATTGCGCAATAAGCAGCTTTGAGTTTAAAATAGATCAAATCATTTTGGACCCGCAGCGCAGAGCGCGTGGAGCCGCGTGGAGCCGCGGGGCCGGAGGACAGGTGGACCCGACAGGTACGAGCTGACAAATACCAGTTATCTGCTGGGAGCGGACCCCCCACCCCGCTCCGGTTCGGTCCATGGCGCCTTCAGGGACACCTGCTCTGCGCGCATCTGGCGCGGCCCTTCAGGGGCCCGTTTTCCGTTAAGTGCAAAAACAAAATAATAAGTGAAAAAAGCTGAGTGAAATTCACGCTCCGTGTTTCTGAAAGTGGCTCCGTGGACGGCGAACACGCAGAACCCAGAAGACAGAAAGAGAGAGAGAAAAACGTGCAAACTTGAGCAGATTCCGCTTTTTACGCGCGCGCAGCCGGCCACCAATTAGTGTTTTTATCTGAGTGTAAAGATGCAGCGGTTAGTTGTGTTATTATAGAGCCGACATACAACCACGAACGGGAAGGAAGAGGAACTTTTGTAGCAGAAGGAAAGAGTGGGGAGCCTCTCTCACTGCGCAGTTGCTGCGGCCGCCCGCCGCCTGCAGCGGCTCCGGCGGCGCCTCTTACCTTTATGGAGCAGTCCATGTCGGCAGCAGCGGCAGCAGCCTCCAGCCCTCTGGCATTTAGTCGGTTTGTGGAGAAACTTGGAGCCAATTCAGCCTCTGACCTCCGTTCACTTCATGCAGCCTTGCATTGCCTCTGTGGCGCAAACCATTGCACTCAGTTTCTGCTGCGCGCTCTAACCGGATGACAGCTCGTTTTTTTCTCGCTCTCTCTCTCGCCCTCTAAAATTGGGAAGTGAAGTCACTGTGAACCTCCTGCTCACAAAGAACAACAACAACAGCAGCAGCAGCAGCAGCAGCTTTTAACCCGAACTGGATCTTTATTCAGCTTTCTGGGGAAATAATGTTGGACCTGCGCCAGTAAAACGCGTTTCAATGAAACTTTATTATTTATCTAATAAATGTCGATGCAAACGTGGAGCAGCTTAAAGAGGCTTGTAGAGTCTAAGGAAGTGAAAATGTTCAGTGAATGTCATCAGCAGGATGATTATTAAATATAAGCCCTTAAATCTCCTTCCATCATGTGCTCACATTGTTTTCATTCATTAAATTCCCCTATGAACACATGAACACAGAATTCATGCTTCAACCTGAAACTTATAAAATTCATGAAAAAATAATAATCAATGTATAAAGACTTTCTGCTTTTTATGAAGCTCTGGTTTAACTCTGGTTAAAACAATGAAGCTGTGAACAATTATATTTTTGCTGCAGCATCTCAGCTTTGACTTTGTCTGTTTTAATGCATCTGAGCTCCAGGTTCATCTACAAATGAAGCAAAAATTTCAATAAAACAAGTTCTGCATAAACAACAACAATAAAAGTTGCCGTTAGACACAGACGGGTAAAAAAGGACAGACTTCCTCAAGCTGGAACCAAATATGTGGTCAGAGTTTCTTCTTGCACAAACCGCCAGTTTTAGGTCACCGTGTCATTTTCTCACCTAGGACGCGAAAACAGAGGAACTGTTCAAATGACTCTCAGATCACACGTTCTATAATTAACCAATAAACGATCAATTCTGATTATTTCACTGAGTTTTAATGACAGAGACCAGAACAGAAGAACAGAACCTGTGAGACGAATCATCTGCGAGCTGATCATGTTTCCTTCATGTTTCCTTCATGTTTCCTTCATGTTTCCTTCATGTTTCCTTCAAGTTTCCTTCATGTTTCCTTCATGTTTCCTTCAAGTTTCCTTCATGTTTCCTTCAAGTTTCCTTCATGTTTCCTTCAAGTTTCCTTCATGTTTCCTCCATGTTTCCTTCATGTTTCCTCCATGTTTCCTTCATGTTTCCTTTGTGTTTCCTTCATGTTTCCTCCATGTTTCCTTCATGTTTCCTTCATGTTTCCTTCATGTTTCCTTTGTCTTTCCTTCATGTTTCCTTCATGTTTCCTTCATTTTTCCTTTGTGTTTCCTTTGTCTTTCCTTCATGTTTCCTTTGTGTTTCCTTCATGTTTCCTTCATGTTTCCTTTGTGTTTCCTTCATGTTTCCTTTGTTTCCTTTGTCTTTCCTTCATGTTTCCTTTGTGTTTCCTTCATGTTTCCTTCATGTTTCCTTTGTGTTTCCTTCATGTTTCCTTCATGTTTCCTTTGTGTTTCCTTCATATTTCCTTCATGTTTCCTTTGTCTTTCCTTCATGTTTCCTTTGTGTTTCCTTCATATTTCCTTCATGTTTCCTTTGTGTTTCCTTCATGTTTCCTTTGTCTTTCCTTCATATTTCCTTCATGTTTCCTTTGTGTTTCCTTCATATTTCCTTCATGTTTCCTTTGTGTTTCCTTCATATTTCCTTCATGTTTCCTTTGTGTTTCCTTCATGTTTCCTTCAAGTTTCCTTCATGTTTCCTTCAAGTTTCCTTATGTTTCCTCCATGTTTCCTTCAAGTTTCCTTCATGTTTCCTTCATGTTTCCTTCAAGTTTCCTTCAAGTTTCCTTCATGTTTCCTTCATGTTTCCTTCAAGTTTCCTTCATGTTTCCTCCATGTTTCCTTCATGTTTCCTTCATGTTTCCTCCATGTTTCCTTCATGTTTCCTTCATGTTTCCTTCATGTTTCCTTCATATTTCCTTCATGTTTCCTTTGTGTTTCCTTCATGTTTCCTTCATGTTTTCTTTATGTTTCCTTCATGTTTCCTTCATGTTTCCTTTGTGTTTCCTTCATATTTCCTTCATGTTTCCTTTGTCTTTCCTTCATGTTTCCTTTGTGTTTCCTTCATGTTTCCTTCATGTTTCCTTTGTGTTTCCTTCATATTTCCTTCATGTTTCCTTTGTGTTTCCTTCATGTTTCCTTTGTCTTTCCTTCATGTTTCCTTTGTGTTTCCTTCATATTTCCTTCATGTTTCCTTTGTCTTTCCTTCATGTTTCCTTTGTGTTTCCTTCATATTTCCTTCATGTTTCCTTTGTGTTTCCTTCATATTTCCTTCATGTTTCCTTTGTGTTTCCTTCATATTTCCTTCATGTTTCCTTCAAGTTTCCTTCAAGTTTCCTTCATGTTTCCTTCATGTTTCCTTCAAGTTTTCCTTCATGTTTCCTTCAAGTTTCCTTCATGTTTCCTCCATGTTTCCTTCATGTTTCCTCCATGTTTCCTTCATGTTTCCTTCATTTCCTTTGTGTTTCCTTTATGTTTCCTTCATGTTTCCTTTATGTTTCCTTCATGTTTCCTTCATGTTTCCTTCATATTTCCTTCATGTTTCCTTTGTCTTTCCTTCATGTTTCCTTTGTGTTTCCTTCATGTTTCCTTCATGTTTCCTTTGTGTTTCCTTTGTCTTTCCTTCATGTTTCCTTTGTGTTTCCTTCATGTTTCCTTCATGTTTCCTTTGTGTTTCCTTCATGTTTCCTTCATGTTTCCTTTGTGTTTCCTTCATATTTCCTTCATGTTTCCTTTGTCTTTCCTTCATGTTTCCTTTGTGTTTCCTTCATATTTCCTTCATGTTTCCTTCATGTTTCCTTCATGTTTCCTTCATGTTTCCTTTATGTTTCCTTCATGTTTCCTTTATGTTTCCTTCATGTTTCCTTCATGTTTCCTTCATGTTTCCTTCATGTTTCCTTTGTGTTTCCTTCATGTTTCCTTCATGTTTCCTTCATGTTTCCTTTGTGTTTCCTTCATATTTCCTTCATGTTTCCTTTATGTTTCCTTCATGTTTCCTTTGTGTTTCCTTCATGTTTCCTTCATGTTTCCTTCATGTTTCCTTTATGTTTCCTTCATGTTTCCTTCATGTTTCCTTCATGTTTCCTTCATGTTTCCTTTATGTTTCCTTCATGTTTCCTTCATGTTTCCTTTATGTTTCCTTCATGTTTCCTTCATGTTTCCTTCATGTTTCCTTCATGTTTCCTTTGTGTTTCCTTCATGTTTCCTTCATGTTTCCTTCATGTTTCCTTCATGTTTCCTTTATGTTTCCTTCATGTTTCCTTTATGTTTCCTTCATGTTTCCTTCATGTTTCCTTCATGTTTCCTTCATGTTTCCTTTGTGTTTCCTTCATGTTTCCTTCATGTTTCCTTCATGTTTCCTTTGTGTTTCCTTCATATTTCCTTCATGTTCCTTTATGTTTCCTTCATGTTTCCTTTGTGTTTCCTTCATGTTTCCTTCATGTTTCCTTCATGTTTCCTTTATGTTTCCTTCATGTTTCCTTCATGTTTCCTTCATGTTTCCTTCATGTTTCCTTTATGTTTCCTTCATGTTTCCTTCATGTTTCCTTTATGTTTCCTTCATGTTTCCTTCATGTTTCCTTCATGTTTCCTTCATGTTTCCTTTGTGTTTCCTTCATGTTTCCTTCATGTTTCCTTTGTGTTTCCTTCATATTTCCTTCATGTTTCCTTTATGTTTCCTTCATGTTTCCTTTGTGTTTCCTTCATGTTTCCTTCATGTTTCCTTCATGTTTCCTTTATGTTTCCTTCATGTTTCCTTTGTGTTTCCTCCATATTTCCTTTATGTTTCCTTTATGTTTCCTTCATGTTTCCTTCATGTTTCCTTTATGTTTCCTTCATGTTTCCTTCATGTTTCCTTCATGTTTCCTTTATGTTTCCTTCATGTTTCCTTCATGTTTCCTTTGTTTGTATTCACATTTATTGTTGTTCCATAAATTTGCAACAAAACCATGAAAATGACATAAAATACCTGATCGAACCAAACCATCAATAATATTGATTCCAAGTCTCTATTTTATTGAATCCTTTGGTAAGATCAATACTTTACCTGAAATTTGATTACATTTTTTTCTTGTAGTTTCTCATCTCTACTTTATAATTATATTTTGTGCAGATTTTCTCTGTGATGAGAATTTTTTGCTCTTCATTTTGCAATTCATTCACTTCCACAGTAAAATCACAACCGATGACCAAAGTGCTGGACGCCACGACCAGAAATCAAACCGAACAAAAGTAAATAAGCATAACTATAAAAACCAACTTCAAGCTGAGTTAACAGAGAAAATCATCATTTTGATGAAAAAACTTCAGTCTCAGTTTGGCTGATGAATGTTTTGTTTCATTGTTTGTGTTATGAAAGTTTGACGGTGCAGAATGTCAGCCAGCGGTGAGCTTGTAATGTTTGGTGCAACAGGGGTCAAAGGTCAGGTACAAAACCCTTTCATTCCAGATTAGTTCCTGCTTGTTTCCATGGCAACGCAGCTCTAAAATGATGAAACAGAAACATTTCCGTGTTTCTTCAGGAACCATCTGCAGGTTCCACATGGAACCAACATTTTATTAGTTCTTTGCTATTTTGGGGGGAAATTTCAGTTTAATAAACTGGATCAAACTGGATCAAACTGGTTCTGTTTCTGCAGGATTTAGTTACTTTTCCCTGAAGACTTAAAGTCCAAAAATAAATCTGGAGAACTTTTGATCCAGAGAACTTCGCCCGTTTACAGGAAAGTCTGGATTTGAGGAAGGAAAAAGAAGAGCCGTCTGCCGATGAAAACTTTAACTCAATGTTTATTTCCTGCTTTTACTTGTTTGATGTTTTTCTCCTAAGTAGTTTTCCAAGTTCTTTTCTTCTCCTATTTTTTCTGTCTGGAACATTTGCTTCCCGTTAAAGATTCGTTTCTGCAGCCGATGCGTCACAGGAGGAAAATAATCCGGAACCAGCAGGAGGAAAGTTTGCTCCAGTTTCCGTGATGCTGCCAGGATTTAAGCAGCTGCTGCAGCAGCACAAAGAGAGAACTTGTGCTGCTGCAGCCACAGAGAGGAGAACCAAACGGACCCGTCTGCGAGGCTGAGAGCCTCACTTTGACTTCAGAGACCAAGGTCAAGGCTGGACCTTCTGTTACCGGGCAGATTTCCAACACAGAATTTACAGAACGAATAATAAAAAGAGAGAAAAAAATTATTTTATCAAAAATACTTGATACATGACAAACCAGCAGTTTTTCTTGTTCATACATCAGCTTTGCTGCTTTAATCTTACATAATATAATATAATATAATATAATATAATATAATATAATATAATATATAAATATAATATAATATATATAATATAATATAATATAATATATTATATTCCGGATATAAAAAATTCCCTTCCTCTGAGCTCGGGTCCTCTACCAGAGGTTATATAGATCTATATCTAAATATATAGATCTATATATATAGATATAGATCTATATATCCTCGGGTCCTCTACCAGAGGCCTGGGAGCTTGAGGTCCTGCAGTATCTTGTGCCAAGGACTGCTGCACATTTCTGGACTGAGATGTCTGATGTTGTTCCTGGGATCTGTTGTAGCCACTGCTCCAGTTTTTGGGGGTTACTGCCCGAGGGCCCCGATGACCACAGGCACCACTGTGGTCTTCACCTTCCAGGCCCTCTCCAGTTCTTCCTGAGGCCCTGGTATTTCTCCAGTTTCTCCTTTTTCCTGATGTTGCAATCACTTGGTATTGCTACATCTACCACAACGGCTTTCCTCTGATGTTTATCCACTACGACAATGTCTGGTTGGTTCTCCATTACCATATATATATCTATATCTATATATCTATCTATCTATATATATATATAGATAGATAGATAGATAGATAGATAGATAGATAGATAGATAGATAGATAGATAGATAGATAGATAGATAGATAGATAGATAGATAGATGATAGATAGATAGATAGATAGATAGATAGATAGATAGATAGATAGATAGATAGATAGATAGATAGATAGATAGATAGATAGATAGATAGATAGATAGATAGATAGATAGATAGATATAGATATATAGATATATATATATAGATATAGATATAGATATATAGATATGGCCCTCGGGGCAGTAACCCCCAAACTGGAGCAGTGGCTACAACAGATCCCAGGAACAACATCAGACATCTCAGTCCAGAAATGTGCAGCAGTCCTTGGCACAGATACTGCAGGACCCTCAAGCTCCCAGGCCTCTGGTAGAGGACCATATATATAGATCTATATATATAGATCTATATATATAGATCTAGATCTATATATCCTCTGGTAGAGGACCCGAGAATATATAGATCTATATATATAGATGTATATATATAGATCTATATATATAGATGTATATATATAGATCTATATATATAGATGTATATATATAGATCTATATATATAGATGTATATATATAGATCTATATATATAGATGTATATATATAGATCTATATATATAGATGTATATATATAGATCTATATATATAGATGTATATAGATGTATATATATAGATCTATATATATAGATGTATATATATAGATCTATATATATAGATGTATATATATAGATCTATATATATAGATGTATATATATAGATCTATATATAGATGTATATATATAGATCTATATATATAGATGTATATATATAGATCTATATATATAGCTGTATATATATAGATCTATATCTATATATCCTCTGGTAGAGGACCCAAGGATCTATAGATCTATATATATATAGATCTAGATCTACATATCCTCTGGTAGAGGACCCAAGGATCTATAGATCTATATATATAGATCTAGATCTACATATCCTCTGGTAGAGGACCCGAGCTCAGAGGATCAGAACCACCCGCGGTGGCTGAGAAGGGAATTTTATATTTTATACATAATTTTCTGTTTGCACTGCAGTTGTGCAGCCACTGTAAAAATATTAAAATTAAAATGAGTTGATTTGGACCGAGTCCCCTGCTGTCCTAGTATTTGTCCTCTTGTCCTCTGTCTTGTCCTCTCCTGTCCCACAGATTCCTCTCAGTCTTTTTGCTACTTTATCTCTTGCTGTGGATTTTCTCCCCTCGTGTTTCTTTCTCCTCGTCACGACTCCTGTCTGTGCACGATGCTGCTCCGCCGCACTTTTCCAGATGCAGCCTGGCTGGCCCTGCGCGTGCGCGTGTTCCTGTGGCTGTGTGTGCGCATGTGCGTGAGCGCGCGCAGCAGAACGTGAGACTGTTTGTTTACTCAGGTCTCCGAGGTCAGCCTTATCTCCTGCAGCCACTCACGCTGTGATTTCTGACTTTCTACAGCAACTCCTTCTGTGTGTGGTGTGTGTGTGTGTGCATGCGCGCGCGCGTGTGTTTTACGGGCCATTGTTTTGTCAAATGGTTTTAAAAGATCCAGGGATTTTTTTCTGCTCTTGGCCTCCACCTCATTATAAAACACTCTGATTTCAAACAGGCGCAGCTGAACATGTTAAAGACATTCACACACACACACACACACACACACACACACACACACACACACACACACACACACACACACACACCACACACAACACATTAAATCAACCAACCTGTAATTTAACTTCGAAACATTTAATTCGGTTTTTTGTTACTAATTAAAATCATTTCAGTCAGAACTGGATTCTGACTTTAGGGTTTAATTGAGTGGAGATTTGCTGCTTTCTCAATATTTTAATTTTGACTTGGAGAAATCATTTCTGCTGAAAGAGTCTTTGATGTTTCTTTTCTATTTTTGGAAAATAATTACAAATAAATCAGACGTCATCATGTCGGACTGCAAGTTTTTTTTAACCTGATAAAATGAAGATTGAAAAAGAATCATCGATTCAGAAGCACAAAAAGAAACATATCCATTATTATTGGTCTGAGATTTTTCAGATTCTTTCATAGAGAAATATTTAATATTTTAAAAGAACATAAAATAAAAAAAAATAATAAGTAATAATCCATCAGTTCCAGACGTTTTATTCTCAAAGAGAATTTAAAAACTGTGTTTTATAAATAATCTTTACTTCATGCAACCATATGAAGATGCAAATATACATAAAAATGTCAAATTAATAATATCTAATGAATTAAATCATCTCACTGATAATCAAACTTCATTTTCTGTTTCTGTAATTATGACATTTAATTTATGAATATTCCTCCACAAACCTTTAAACAGGTTTTAAATTGAACCAAATCTTTTCTTCATCAGCAAATAAAGTTTTTCAGTCTGATGGTTCCTGTATGTATGAAATGTTTAAGGCCAGGCACAGAGCCGTGTGGAACACCACAGGAAGCCTTCAGCCTGCAGAATCACCTGTTATCATCTTCAGTTTGTTGTCTGGTGCAAATGTTCAGTTTTTTCATATTGAACAGTAAATATCCTTTTATTCTCTATATTTTGTATTTTATATACAAAATATATTGGAGACGATCAAATATAATCCTAATACTTTGAAATGTCTCTTAGCAGAAGCTGTGAATCAGACACACACACACACACACACACACACACACACACACACACACACACACACACACACACACACACACACACACAGACTATTTGTATCACAATAAATAGAAAAATATGAACCAGTTACAGAAAACAGTTTTTTCTCCGCATCTTTGCGCCCTCTTCAGATGATCTGAAAAATGAGCAATAAATAAAGAGTTTAATGATTATTAGTTTCCGCTGTTGCTGCTCTTGTTTCTTCTAAACTTTCATTTCAATGTTTCCTCATAAATTTATAAAATCCAAAGCTGATGATGCTTTAATGCTTTAATATCTTATCGCTTTTTCTTCCCGTTAAATAAATGATGAAACATCGAATCACGTCATAAAAAGTTCATCTGCGGATCTTTTATGAATGAACGTTGATCGCTGGTGTGTGTGTGTGTGTGTGTGTGTGTGTGCGTGTGTGTGTGTGTGTGTGTGTGTGTGTGTGTGTGTGTGTGTGTGTGTGTGTGTGTGTGTGTGCGTGTGTGTGTGTGTGTGTGTGTGCGTGTGGGGAGGGGGTTTCTGACGTAAACAGACCTCGGATCCGCAGGTCACGACGCGCCGCAGCCCGCGCCCCGCCCCGCGCCGCGCGCCTTTATAAGCGGCCCGGAGCCCCCAGACCACCAGGCTGAGCTCCGCTTCCACCGCCGCTGGGAGCCGCTTCTGGGAACGTTTCGGGAACCTGGAGCCACGGAGGGGAACAACGTCAAACTAAAGGTTCGTTCTGCTCTTCATTCCAGTCAGATCCCGGTTCAGCCTGGTTCTGGTTCTGGTTCTGGTTCCTGAGTCCCAACGGAACATTTTCAGACTTCAGGATCAGTTTGTGCCTGCAGGGAGAGGAGATGGAGGTTTGCCACACTGGATTCTACACTGAGGACTTCAGCACGCAGGAAGTGCCTGCAGGATTCGACTTTGCGTTTTATGGTGAGTTCAGGTTCTGCTGGTTCCTTTCTGACCCGGAGGAGGAGGAGGAGGAGGAGGAGGAGGAGGAGGAGGAGGAGGAGGAGGAGGAGGAGGAGGAGGAGGAGGAGGAGGAGGAGGAGGAAGGCTCTGCGTGTTTATCTGAGGTGTTTCCTCTGAGCTGAGCAGCTGAAGGACGCAGGAAGTGCTGCAGTCTGTGTCATCACGTCTGTTACAGGGCCTCAGCCAGACCCTGACCCGGACCGGGGCGGGCCGGGCCGGGCCGGACCGGCCGGTCAGGCTGAAGACTCGCTCTGTCTGTCGTCCCTAATCCTTTCCTCCAGATTTCCTCCTCCAACAGATTTAGAGTCCTGCCTCCTCTTCCTCCTCCTCCCTTCCCTCCATCACTGCGTTTCCTCCCCTCCCTGCTCAGCTTCCTCCCTGCAGCGTCTCCATCCATTCATGTCATCAACACTCAGAGCATCAGTTTCCTCCTGCTGATGGGAGCCGAGCAGGAAAACAGCTGAATTCACACAGTTTACAGTTGGAAGTGAAGAGAGAGTTGAAAACTGATGGAGGATGCATCTCATTCAGAACCAGGAGTTTGATTGATGCTGTTTGGTTCTTTCAGCTTCATTTCATTTACTAAAATATGAAACTAAACCCTCAAATCTTTCTGAAATGCAAAGTCACTGAGCCTCTGAGCTGCAGGGAAAATATGCTGCAGATTTCATTCATGTTGCTGCTTACAGGGTCTGGACCAGAACATCTAACTGTGTGTGTGTGTGTGTGTGTGTGTGTGTGTGTGTGTGTGTGTGTGTGTGTGTGTGTGTGTGTGTGTGTGTGTGACCTCCAGACTGTCCCGGTGAAGACCCGTCCCTCCTGTTGGACAGTAAAGCCTTCGGGCCGCAGCAGTACTTCTCAGAACCGCCTAAAGCTCCAAGTCTTTACCACCACAGCAAAGGTAAACCTCCAGACGTTTCCTGTGAACAGTCCACTCTGCTCCGACTCTGAATGTTCTGATGGGACCGTCTTCCTCAGCAGGTACCGCCGATACCGGACTCTTCAACCTGGACTCACACCAGGACTTTACCTGGTTGTACCCGGACGGTGAGGCCGGACCGCGCAGCGCCGACTGGCTGCCTCTGAGGTTTGTTTGGGTGTCTGACCGTCTCCTTCATCCGCAGACGGTCTGACTCTGGACCAGAACCAAGCTGGGTACCAGGAGGCCCTGCAGACCTACCAGAACCTGCCTCAGGCCGGACCGTTCAGCCCGGGCCTGGAGGGCAGCCACAGCCCGTTTCTGACCCGAAAAGGAGCCAACCCGTTCCAGAGTGAGACCTGGTTCTGCTCCGGGCCTCGGGAAAGTTTCACTGTAAAAAAAGATTTTTTATCCTGTCAGATCATTTTACAGTCATATTTTCACCATAATATTCATACATGTATGAAAGTAAAATCTGAATATTTTATTCACATGAGTTTAGATTCAAACTGAGTATTTAACTTAAAGCTAAATATTGAGTTTGAAAACTCAAGATGAATAACATGGTGGAAATATGACTGTAAATGATCTGACAGGATAAATAAACCAAAATATTTCTGTTAATGTTTTACAGTGTGACTTTTCAGGCGGCCTCCTCACAGCCCAGCCCTCCGTCATTCCCGGTATTCCCGGTATTCCCGGTATTCCCGGTATTCCCGTTGACCTCCGGATCTTTCCCTGTTTCAGATCAAAGTGATCAGAGTTTCTACGACTCAGACGGACGCAGACAGGTTTCCTCCTTCTGGCCTGAATATTCACCTCCCAGCTTCTCCTGCACCCCGCTTCACCCTCCTCCTCCTCCATCATCTTCATCATCATCACCACCATCATCATCATCATCCTGCCCCTCCAACCCTCAGCCTGCAGAGCTCTACTGCCCCCGTGTGGCCAAACGCAAAAACACACACCTGCAGAGGCCGGAGAGGGAGGGCCAGGTAACAGGAATGTCAGCGTATCCAGGTCTGAAGAATCGGACACGGAATGATTTCAGGTGAAGAGATGAAACATTAAAGTTCCTTCCGGGTTCTGCAGGTTCTGGTCCCATCCAGCTGTGGCAGTTTCTACTGGAGCTTCTTCTGGACTCGGCCTGCAGGACCTTCATCTCCTGGACCGGAGACGGATGGGAGTTCAAGATGTCTGATCCCACCGAGGTGAGGAACAGTCCAGGTTCTGGTTCTGGAACCAGTTCCGGAACCAGAACCTGGGCTCGGTTCTGGTTCTCCTCCGACCTTTTTAGATCTTCTAATTTAAAAAACAGACATCTGAATGAAAGTTTTAACAAATCAGTAAAACAGATGAAAAGTGGATTTTGATGAAAATGTTATTTGTTTTTATTCCAAGTTATTGATTAAATATTGATAGATAAACAGCCTCTGGTGATAAATCAGATGAAAGGATTTCAGAAACTGAAATAAAAACATAAATAAATACACACAAAATAAAAAAACTGGGTTAGAAACTGCAGGAAAGCGTTTGATTCAGAGCTGACCTTTGACCTGGTCTGACCAGCTGACCTGATTCTCCAGACTAACAATTTATCCCATCAGTTCAAATCAACATTTTCTGCTCAGATCAAAACTTGAATTATTAACATAAAGTGGATCACCAGTACAGATCTGGGAGCGTTTGGATATTAAATCCATGATTTTCTGATGATTATTTTCATCAGTTTTGTTTCGGATTCGGCTGAATTTTCAGGATTAATCCTGATTCTGAGGTTTGTTGTCCTGCAGGTGGCCAAGCGCTGGGGTCAGTGCAAGAACAAGCCGAAGATGAACTACGAGAAGCTGAGCCGCGGCCTGCGCTACTACTACCACAAGAACATCATCCACAAGACGGCGGGCAAACGCTACGTCTACCGCTTCGTCTGCGACATGCAGGGCATGCTGGGAAAAACGGCGCAGGAAGTCCTGAGCAGCCTGAACGTCTCGCCCTCAAACACAGAGACATGGCCGGCGTCCGGGGCGGCGGCGCCGGCCGAGCCCAGCGGCGGGCCCTGGTGAGGGCCGGGTCCGACAGGGTCCAACTGGTCCGACTGGGTCCAACTGGGTCCGACTGGGTCCAACTGGGTCTGACCGGGTCCGACCGGGTCCATCTGGGTCTGACCGGGTCTGACGGGTCCGACCGGGTCCATCTGGGTCTGACCGGGTCTGACCGGGTCCGACCGGGTCCATCTGGGTCTGACCGGGTCTGACCGGGTCCGACCGGGTCCAACTGGGTCCGACCAGATCCAACTGGGTCCGACTGGGTCCGACCGGGTCCAACTGGGTCCGACTGGGTCCGACCGGGTCCATCTGGGTCTGACCGGGTCCAACTGGGTCCAACTGGGTCCAACTGGGTCCAACCGGGTCCAACCGGGTCCGACCGGGTCCAACTGGGTCCAACTGGGTCCAACCGGGTCCAACCGGGCCGGGTACTCTGGCAGAACCAGAACATCCTCAGAGGATAAATCTGCTTCAGGAAATGTCGAGACGCTTCATTTCAGAGAAACAGCAACAACCAAAACAAACAAATCAACTTTTTTAATAAAAACTTTGTTCAAACCAGAGAAGATCTCCGAACCGCATTTCACCCGATGCCCAGAGGACAAGAGTAAATATTGTTTATAAGACTATCTGGTAGAGTTTTGTGCATTATTATTATTATTATTATTATTTTGATACAAAACTCATTTCTACCTCCTTTGCTGCAGGGAAGAACAACCTGGTGTTTGGTTCAGACACCGGGAGAAAATATTTTGATGAGTTTCTGATGAATATTTGTGTAAATAAAACTATTTCAGGGGAAAATTGTGTTGAGGTTTGTTATATCTTTGAACCAGCAGGTGGCGCTGTTGGCTGATTCCTCCTATTTCACTGCATCTTCCATGACAATAAAACAACATGAAGGTTTTCTGGATGAGGATTCGGCGGTTCTGAAGCGTCACAGGGAATAAACTGGAAACGTTGAGTTGATTCATTTGGGTCAGTTTGATAAAAGGTTGTGAAGTTTTTACTGGAAACATTTAATCTAGAAACAAGGAAATTTCACCAAGTATGATGTCTGAACATGACTGAACATATTTTGGTTGTTTGTTGATGAATTGTGGATTTTTTTACAAGTTTATTATAAATGAGGTTTTTACTGAAAAAGAAAATCATTAAACTTTAGACATTATAAACTTTGATCTTGTTTCACATTTTGAACCCAAATATTTTTGCAGTTTTCTGATGAATTATTTAGATTTTACTGGTTTCTGCTGTTTTTATGAGGAAAGTTTGGCTGGTTGATAATCTGACAGAGAGGAAGATGATCATCATCGTCATCATTAGCTCTGGACTCACCTCATGCTTTGCTCTCAGGTTAAGGAAACCGGATCCTGGTTCAGTAACTCATCGGTTACCAGAACCGAGAACTCGGTCAGCTCTGGACTCAACAGAACCAAACCCAGACCGTCAACCGCCTGCCTGCTTCCATGCCACAGCGAGCCTCCTGAAACCAAGCCTCACCCGGATCCGGATCCGGATCCATATCCTGATCCAGATCCAGGTTCATATCCAGGTCCAGATCCAGATCCGGATCCAGGTTCAGATCCTGATCCAGATCCTGATCCAGATTCAGGTTCATATCCAGGTCCAGATCCAGATCCGGATCCAGGTTCAGATCCTGATCCAGATCCTGATCCAGATTCAGGTTCATATCCAGGTCCAGATCCAGATCCGGATCCAGGTTCAGATCCTGATCCAGATCCTGATCCAGATTCAGGTTCATATCCAGGTCCAGATCCAGATCCGGATCCAGGTTCAGATCCAGATCCAGATCCAGATCCAGATCCTCACATCTGACTGCGGTTCTTCTCTTCGTCCAGAACCAGAACTCTGCCACATCCACAGGTTCTGAGCTGAATTACAGTTTTACCTTGTAAATTAAAACCTTCAGACAGAAAGTTACTGCAAGACATGATGATTTTGGTTGGATAGTGAAAAATAGTTTTTCTTCATTAAACTTATTGGCATGTTGCTGCAAACTTCGGCTGCAGGAAGCGAAACGGGCTCAGAGGTCCAGAACAGCCAGACAAGAACTTAATGTCGACGGGTCAGAAGAAGCTGGAGGGATTATGGCCTGGATATGATCATGTTGTCCAGGAAGAAGCTTGACTTGTAAAGTAAAAGGATAAGTCAGGACTTTCTGATCGTTTTCCGTTCTAAAGCAGCTTAATGCTGAGAGTCTGCAGATGAATTCACTTCACATTTCCTCTGCTTACAATCAGTGGCGGAGCCAACAGACTCCTGGCCACCCCTACTGCCACCCCACTGGAAATGGTAATTTTAAAATATAATACTTATGAGATCGGCAAAGATTTGCCAGAAAAAATATTAAGTATTAAAATCCAATAAGCCTAATTCTAAAGGTTAGCATGATGCTTTTTGCATTTTTTATTGTGTCTGTTTATGCATTTCCAGTTAAGTTCCAGAGAGAGATGAGGGTGATACAGATTCAGACTCTGGGGAGGAAGACAGTGAAGCAGAAGGAAATGGCACTGAACTGCCCCCACCCAGCACAACCTGTTGCACACCAGAAGCACCAGTTTATTTATTTATTTATTTTTGAGAATTTATTTTTGGTCATATTCTGGGCTCTGAGTTTACATTTACATGTTCACTGTTCCATAGAGCGTTTAACGTCTTGTTTGGTCATGGCAAATCTTAGTTAAATAAACCATTTTAATTTGAGTGTGTGAGAGAAAATATTTTTCCTTTCGTTCATCATTTGTATATTTACCCTCTGATAAAGCCTTGCTCACCCTTTGGCCACCCCTTGAAAAGAATTCTAGCTCCGCCACTGCTTACAAATCGCCTAAAGAACAACATGAAGGTTTTCTGGATTAGAAAACTGCGATCTGAGCAGATTTTATTTTGGATGATTTCACTGCTTGGTTGCATTGATCAGGTTTACAATTTATTTATGTTCCAGTTTGTGTTTCTGCAGCATCGGCCTGTAGTTCACACTGTAACCACGGCAGCTGCCAGCTGGTTCACACACTGTTCACTGAGCATGCTCCATGCAGGAGATCAATTTGACCTTTGACCTCCAGCAGTAAACGTGACGCTGCAGAACCGTCCTGCTGAAGTTCAGGTTGAACGGACCAGTCTGCAGACTGGAGGTCCAACTGGCTGTTTGCGTCCATGGTGCCTTCAGGGACCTCTGTCTATGGAGCCTTCAGGGACCTCTGTCTATGGTGCCTTCAGGGACCTCTGTCTCTGGTGCATTCAGGGACCTCTGTCTCTGGTGCCTTCAGGGACCTCTGTCTATGGTGCCTTCAGGGACCTCTGTCTCTGGTGCATTCAGGGACCTCTGTCTATGGAGCCTTCAGGGACCTCTGTCTATGGTGCCTTCAGGGACCTCTGTCTATGGTGCCTTCAGGGACCTCTGTCTCTGGTGCATTCAGGGACCTCTGCCTGTGGTGCCTTCAGGGACCTCTGCCTGTGGTGCCTTCAGGGACCTCTGTCAGTGGTGCCTTCAGGGACCTCTGTCTGTGGTGCCTTCAGGGACCTCTGTCTATGGTGCCTTCAGGGACCTCTGTCTCTGGTGCCTTCAGGGACCTCTGTCTATGGTGCCTTCAGGGACCTCTGTCAGTGGTGCCTTCAGGGACCTCTGCCTGTGGTGCCTTCAGGGACCTCTGCCTGTGGTGCCTTCAGGGACCTCTGTCTGTGGTGCCTTCAGGGACCTCTGTCAGTGGTGCCTTCAGGGACCTCTGCCTGTGGTGCCTTCAGGGACCTCTGCCTGTGGTGCCTTCAGGGACCTCTGTCTCTGGTGCATTCAGGGACCTCTGTCTATGGAGCCTTCAGGGACCTCTGTCTATGGTGCCTTCAGGGACCTCTGCCTGTGGTGCCTTCAGGGACCTCTGTCTGTGGTGCCTTCAGGGACCTCTGCCTGTGGTGCCTTCAGGGACCTCTGTCAGTGGTGCCTTCAGGGACCTCTGTCAGTGGTGCCTTCAGGGACCTCTGTCGTGGTGCCTTCAGGGACCTCTGCCTGTGGTGCCTTCAGGGACCTCTGTCTGTGGTGCCTTCAGGGACCTCTGTCAGTGGTGCCTTCAGGGACCTCTGTCTATGGTGCCTTCAGGGACCTCTGTCTGTGGTGCCTTCAGGGACCTCTGCCTGTGGTGCCTTCAGGGACCTCTGTCTGTGGTGCCTTCAGGGACCTCTGTCTATGGTGCCTTCAGGGACCTCTGTCTGTGGTGCATTCAGGGACCTCTGTCTGTGGTGCATTCAGGGACCTCTGTCTGTGGTGCCTTCAGGGACCTCTGCCTGTGGTGCCTTCAGGGACCTCTGTCTGTGGTGCCTTCAGGGACCTCTGCCTGTGGTGCCTTCAGGGACCTCTGCCTGTGATGCCTTCAGTGACCTCTGCCTGTGGTGCCTTCAGGGACCTCTGCCTGTGATGCCTTCAGGGACCTCTGTCTGTGGTGCCTTCAGGACCTCTGTGGTGCCTTCAGTGTCTGCTGCTACACTGAACCTGTTGTTATAAACAGGAAGGAGCCCAGCTGCACTTCCAGAAAGACCATCATCTTTTCAAAAAATGTAGAAAACATTTATCTCTGAAGCAACAAACGTGCATTCCTCACAGAAATTAATTGTTTTAACAAATATTGTTTCAATCAGAAGGAAATATTAAAACCATAAGATTATAATTTCAGTACAACGGCTGTTTAAAATGCTTCATGAGAAAAAGACACATAATTGATGTTTACTTGAAAAAGGTTTGATGGTTTTTCCAGATTTTGATGGAAAAAGACAAAAATAAATTACGTTTAGTTTGTGGCTAAGTAAAAAAAATTATTTGGTAAAAGGAAAATATTCCTTATATTTTTCTTTCTGCAGGTGTTGGAAGAAAAATGTTGTCATTTCTGCTTTTATCTAAACTAAAAATTAAACAACATTGAAATTTAGTTGAAAATGTTTTTAGTTTCTGATTGAGCTGAATTTACTGTTATGTTGTTAAAATCCAGATAGAAAATGTGACGTTATATTAATGTATCGATGTTTATTAGTGAATCTTAATCATCACAGCTGCACTGGAAAATAGAATATTAAAAAATCTAATTTCATGAGTCTTCTGTTCATGCTCTGCACATCAATGACACAGACTCACCTGGTGACACCTGGAGTGTCTCCATGGCAATGCAAATATCATCAATGTCACAATTTTCAGCTATAGTTTCATAATCAAATATATTCCTGAAGTCATGCAGCTGTAATGCAAATACTTAGTTTATTCTTCAACACGAAGAAAATCTGAACCAGTGAAAATCAAAGAGACTTAAAATCAAAAATCAAAGCTGCAGAGCCGCCAGAGCGACGCTGCGAGGAAAACATCCAGGAAACAAAATGATTTTAAAATGATTCCCCACAACGTTTCACTGCACAGCTTTAAGGAGTGGAAAAGTGTCAGAAGCTAAAGTTTCATAAAATGTTCTGGCAGCCAGCGACAGGAAGCGAGAAAAGGAGAAATCTGGTCTTGTGACAGGTTTGCTTCTCCTGCAGAGGATAAAACCCCCAGAAACAAAACAAGCAACTCTTTATTCTTCTACATTAAAAATGCTTTTAATGTTTTCATTCGGTTTAAAATAGATAGATCTATTTTATTAGATCTATTTTTTCATCAGGTCATCGATGAGAAAACTTTGCTCCTCCTTCAGGATTTTGAGGAAGAGATCCTTAGCCGCCAGGCCTCCTGCCTTCACATATTTGTACAGCGTCCTCATCTGGACCTGGGACGGCCGCAGCGCCAGTATCTCATCATACGTCTCATCCTGGATAACTTTGGCTTTTAAGAGCTTGTCCAAAACGGCCGGGACGGCGGTGACTCTCTGGATCAGATCAGTCCTGTGTCTGTCCACAAAATGTTCCCCTGAGGACAGAAAACAGGACATGTTCAGTGTCCAATCTGCAATTTCATATTGTTTGTGAAGCTTGTTGAAGGGTTTAGCGTTGCGCTGATCTTAGTTGATCCACAGCCTAAATCTCAGGCTGTGGTTATCAGTCGGAAAACCGTTTCACCCCTTCATGTTTCTGTACATTTTGTTTAAACTTTCATTTCCTTCTGATATTCAGATGATGTGCATTTATAGTTTTATTGAGTTTGTTTAGCTTGTGACTCGACAGCTTCTCACTTTAATCCAGAAGTTTTTCTGGGAGGAACATGAAGGAATGTGAGGAGAAATAAATCGTCTTAAAGGAGTCAAAATGAGGATGAACTGGTTTCATCCTCATTTAACTGAGTTCAGAAAGAAGAACCAGCAGGTTCCACCTGCTGACCAGGTTCACACAATCTGACAGAAATCCTCTCTAACGAACCAATCAGGAGCGACTTCCTGCCACATGCAGCGTCTGGAACCAGGAAGCATTTCCAGTAAAACCATTTACAGCCTGACACACGAATAGAGAGCTGATTAGCATTTTGCTTTTGACATCCAGTTTGTTACTTTGGACTTATTGATACTTTGGTGAAAATTGGAATTTAGAATTTTTGTTTCTTTGATCAAATTTTTGCTGATTTGTAGAAATATGTTTGTTAGATTTCACCAACAAATTGATTGAACAAGTATAATATTTATTCATAATCAAATGTTGTTTACAAATTAAAAATGGTGCATTTTGGTATAATGCACCATTATACCACTAAATAAATGAATTATTTTCATTTATTGTAATAAATGAAAATAATAATAATAACAATAATAATAATAATAATAATAAAATAATAATAATAATAATAATAATAATAATAATAATAATAATAATAATAATACAGGCCTTTGGGCACTTAAATAACTTAGAAACTTAGAAACATCATAATATGTTGGAGAAAACATATTATGATGTTTTAATTCTCTAATCAAATGAAGTCTGAGGTCTGAGGTGAATGAATTGGGGTCAAAATGTCCCGTTGGGTCCAGAGCGGCCGGCCCGTCTGCTGTTCAGCCTCCGGTTCTTCTTCACAAGGCAGAAAAGTATCGCTGTGTTTTCAGCACCACAGGTGTGTGAACACTTTACCACAGAAACACGCAGATCTGCTGCAGTTCATTCTGTAAATGATTTCTATCTTCAGAATAAAGTGGATGTGATTTAAAGTAAGTTATGCACCAACATTCCTGCGTAGCTTCATGTTTTCTAGCTTTATGCTGAAACAAAGAACCCAAACAACCCAGACGCCTGTCTTTAAAAAGAATAAAATAATGACTCACCATCACTGGATCCACCAGCAGAACTAAACAAACCTACTTGTTCAGCTTCTGCAACTGCAAAAAATAAAAATACAAAATCAGAGAATAAGAACAAAACCAAATTCAGTGCGTGTGTGTGTGCGTGTGTGTGTGTGTGTGTGTGTGTGTGTGTGTGTGTGTGTGTGTGTGTGTGTGTGTGTGTGTGTGTGTGTGTGTGTGTGTGTGTGTGTGTGTGTGTGCTTTTTGTCTGATTGTTTCCATAAAGTTAGATATTAGATATATTAAATATATTCATATTAAATGTCCCGGATGTTTCTGCATGATGTTTGGCTCCGACAGACAGAGCCGTCCAAATGCGCCACTTTAGCGCACGAGCTGCAGTTTGGACCAGTACCGATCCAGAACTAAACCGAACCCGAAGCTCCCAGGCAGTCAGAACCAAACTGCTGAGCTTCTCATGCTGATGTTCAGAGTTTTAGTTTTTCTTTAGTTTCTACTGAGTTGGAGCCAAAAGAAGGAAACTGATGTTCGGATGTTTGGATCAGCAGTGAAAGTCAAAGTGAAAGTAAAAAAGAGACGCGGTGGTTCCGGTTGTCTCTGTTGGACCACATTGGATCCAACATGTTGCATTTTGAGCGTAAAACGAGAGAAATGTTTGATTTTCCCTCCGGAACCAGACAGATACTGACCCAGCGGGTCCGGAACCAGAGCAGATACTGACCCAGCGGGTCCGGAACCAGAGCAGATACTGACCCAGCGGGTCCGGAACCAGAGCAGATACTGACCCAGTGGGTCCAATCAGACAGATACTGACCCAGATCGTCCGCGGCCTGATTGCAGCGGATCTCTCTCAGGATCTCCTCCGCCACCTTCAGCGCTTTTTTCTCCGAGTAAACGTTGATCATCACGTCTGAAATCTCCATGAAGTCCTTTCCCTCCACCTGGCTGGTCCGAACTCCGTCCTTCCGGTCCAGTAGTTCTGTTCGGAACTTCTTCAGGTTGTCTCCTGACAGATCCTCCAGTTTGTTACTTAAAATCTTCTTGGCCGTTTTCGGAGGCATTTCTCAGGATGATCCAGATGTTCCGATGTCAGATTCTCACGCCAGTCCGTTTCTGTTGACGTGACGCGTTTCGGTGTTGTGGGAAAATGAATTTTCGACAATAACTTCCTGAAATTCACGAAAATGGCAAATTCCTCTGATAATCACGATTAATACATAATTAATACATAATTAATACATGATTGATACATAATTAATACATGATTAATACATAATTAATAGCTACATGATTAATATATAATTAATACATGATTAATACATGATTAAAGATAATGATGTTTCTGAAAGTGCCGCTGAATCTTTTTTCTTATTGGAAAACAGTTTTCCGGCAGCTGGAGGTCCCTGAAGGCACCATGGAGGCTTCCGTTGTGAACATGTTACACACCCAGTGGACCCGCATGTGCAGGCTGACATGTTTCCTCTGAACTTGGACAGAAAGACATGATAGATCTCCACATGACTCTGGATGTTTGAACATCTGGATGTTTGAACATCATATGGTCTCCAGAGGTGGAGAAGGGAAGGGCGGGCATTTGCATTGTGAGGTCATGTGATCAGCAGCTTTACAGGAAATGTACAGCATGTTCTCCAAGATGAACCATGAACAGTAAACACTATTATTTCCTATCAGCCTTTTCCACTAATTAATACAATACTAATCACTGGATTACTCATGTATTAATCCTGTATTGATTCTTTTAAAATACAATGTTTTCTGCTCGTTTATTCCCCACTGAGCTGCAGAAGTTCAAAAATAAACAAATGAAAATCCACTGAGCAAATGAACGACTAACCGGTTCCATCAGAACATAAAATACCTGGCAGCTAAAAAAACGCCTCTTTTGTTAGTCCTGTCATAAACATCTGGCACACAGTCAGCTACACCACCTACACACACACACACACACACACACACACACACACACACACGCACACACACACACACACACACACACACACACACACAACACACACACACACACACACACACACACACACACGCTCTCTTCTGATGAACCTTCCACTGAACGCTCCTGAACGCCTCACGACTTCGTGCATCTGCAGGACACATCCTGGAAAACTGGCTCAGGTCAAAGGTCGTTTCATCTACAGCCAGCAGTTTTATGGGAAAAGCTCAGACTGCAGGTTACAGGACGGGGCATTTATAACATTTTATATTTACTGTGTGAAATTTTAGAGTGTTTTTATGAACTCCTCCTCCTTGAATGTTAGTCACAGACGGGACGAGTTTCTGTGAGGAGGAACAAAACATTTTTACACAGGAAGCAGCCGATCCTGTCTGGGAGGAAGAGCCTGGGAACAGCAGCCATTTTACAGCTGCATGCAGAGAGGGCAACGTTTTCAGCTGCAACAGGAAGAAAGTCAAACAATAAAAACACAAAACTGCAGGTTGAACAAAATGTTTGTAAAAATATGCTTTTATTTTCATTTAAACAAAGAAACGTTCCCAGCACCAGGATCACATTATTCCAGATGAAAACATTTATTTATCTCCAGAAGTTGGAGGAAAACATCATAAAAAGTAAATTCATTGCACTTTATGATTTTAATGATTCTGCAGCTGAACTTCCTCTGGTTTCTGCAGAAACGTTGGTTTCACCTCCATCATCTGCAGCTCCTGCAACACAAACATCAGGTTCCTGTGGAAACGCTCAAGTTTCATTAAGAATGAAACACGTTTCAGAGAAACTCACCGTAAAAGCAGCCGCCGTCATCCGCTTTGTTTCTCCTGGACTAGAAAACAGATCAGAAACGTTCATGTAAGACAATCCGTCACCATTTCAGGGAAAATCTTTACAAACGTTTTTCAGTTTTTCCGCTGCCTGGATATCTGCAGACATTTTGAACCTGGTCAAACATTTGATTCTGCCCTGATTATCAAACTGTTTTCCATCATTAATAAACCATTACATTGCAGCAGCTGAAACAGACACTAGAGGGCGCTAAAGATCATCGGGACTTAAAATGTAGTTTCATTTAAAGCTTCGCGTGAAAATAAGTTACATTTTGTTTTCTGTAGGTAAATAAGAAACATTTTAATGTAATTAAATAAGTAAAATGCATTTATTGAATTAATATCGGGTCTGTCGTTGTTTTCTTGGTTTCTGAACTTTAACTCGTTTCTAATCTCGATGCTTGTCTCTGGTCTCTAGTCTTTGTCTCTGTCTCTTGTCTCTGGTCTCTTGTCTCTGGTCTCTTGTCTCTGTCTCTTGTCTCTGGTCTCTGTCTCTGGTCTCTGTCTCTGTCTCTGCTCGTTTCACTCACTGAGTCTCTCCGCCTGCTGCTTGCAGCTGATGCTCCTCAGGATCTCCACGGTGACGTCCACAGCCTGGTCCTCCGTGAAGGTGGAGACCAGAACATCCACGACCTCCAGGCGGCTCTTGCCCTCCACCCTGCAGCGTCTGACCCGCGGCTCCTCTCTGCGGTCCAGCAGCTGGAAGATGAACTTGTCCAGGTTGTCTTTGCTCAGGTCCTCCAGGGTTTCAGCCAGAAGCTGCTTGACGCTGCGAGGCATTTCTCTGGAGCAGAACCCGAACCAACGTAGCAGAACCCGAACCGACACTGAAAGAAGGGGAGGAGCCTGAGGAAGTTTCACTTCAGAGGAGGAAACAATGCAACACTTTTTTTTGTAAGCTTTATTGAAAACATCTGCAGATGATATTTCCGATCAAGACGCTATAAAAACATAAAGCTTCAACAAAAACCACCAAGTTCTGAAACTTGATATGAAAACTGACGAATCTGATGGAGAAAAACTTCATTTTATTTCCTTAAATTCAGTTTTTGTTACAAATAAATTACATAACATGTAAAGTAAATCAGGTATCAAACTGGTCCCACATATTAAACCCATCAGGAGTAAAAACCAGTTCACTGCTGGTCTGGTGACTAAACCCGCCGTGGGGTCAAAGTTCAGGAGCCTCCTCGGTTCGGACAGAGGAGCTCCGGTCAGGCTGCGGTCCAAATGGCAGCAGCCGATCACTGAGCTCACCTCAGCCTGACCTCTGATCCCTGACTGCCCTCCTGCCTGCGTCTCCACTGGAGCAAAACAAACATGGCGTGAAAACTTATTTTCAGGAGACAAAGTAAACTGTCTGTCATGAAGTGGGTGGTGGCGGTGGTGAGGCAGCACGCTGGAGACCCAGATATGGTGAATGATGAAATATTTAATGAAAATAGTCCACAAAAAAAACAGTCAACAGAGTCCGCGGCCAGGCAGCACGGCTGAGCGGAAGCCAGGGCTCAACGCCGTAGCAACTGGTCATACAGGCGGTAAACACAACAAGGACAATCTGACAACAATCTGACAACAATCTGACAAGGACCCGACGAGGAACAGAGGACACAGGAGGGACTAAATACACTGAGGGTAATCAAGGGAACGACACCTGGGAACAATCAAGGGGAAGACAGGACAACGAGGAGACTCAGGACACAGAAACTCGGAATAAAAACACAGAAAAAACACAGAACCTGACAGTACCCCCCCCTTAAAGGGCGGCTACCAGACGCCCAAAAACAAAGTCCAAAACACAAAACCAGGGTGGGCGGAGGGGCGACGGAGGAGGGCCAGAGTCCAGAAAAACAAAAACTAACAGAAAACTACCCACAAAAGGTGGGCGGAAACACAAGGAGGGGCCAAGAGTCCAAAACTAAACAGAAAGTGGGCAGAGGCATCGAGGGGGATCCGTGTGGGTCCTCGGCGCCGCGGCAGACCCACAGGGGAGGTCCGGAGGGCGTCCTCGGCGCCAAGGAGCATAGGGGACTCGGGAGGAGCACTAGGGGACTCGGGAGGAGCACTAGGGGACTCGGAGGAGCACTAGGGGACTCGGGAGGAGCACTAGGGGACTCGGGAGGAGCACTAGGGGACTCGGGAGGAGCACTAGGGGACTCGGGAGGAGCACTAGGGGACTCGGGAGGAGCACTAGGGACTCGGGAGGAGCACTAGGGGACTCGGGAGGAGCACTAGGGGACTCGGGAGGAGCACTAGGGGACTCGGGAGGAGCACTAGGGGACTCGGGAGGAGCACTAGGGGACTCGGGAGGAGCACTAGGGGACTCGGGAGGAGCACTAGGGGACTCGGGAGGAGCACTAGGGATAGAGGCTGCCGGAGCAGCGGCACGAGGAGCAGAGTCCACGGAGGCCGGAGCGGAATCCGGCGGAGCAGGAACCGCAGCCGGAGCGGCACGAGGAGCAGAGGCTGGAGCTGGGGCTGGGCTGCCGGAGCGGATGTCTGGCCTGGGAGGCAGAGGTTTAGCATCCCAGGCCGCAAAGGCTGTCCGGCGTATCTCCTCTGCCTCCCGCTGCAGCTCCACCAGCGCGGGGTGCGGGAGACGAGGAACCCAATAGTCCAATAGCAGGCCCAGGCGTATCGCGAACCCTGGCCGTCTCAGGGCGAACGTGGACGTACTCTTTGCCTCCTCATACTCGCGGATAGTACGGAGTAGCTCCTCTAAACCCTCTGGGTCCATGATCTGATTCTGCGAGCCTCACCGTATTTCTGGTCGGGTCCTTCTGTCATAAAATGGTGGTGGCGGAGGTGGTGAGGCAGCACGCTGGAGACCCAGATATGGTGAATGATGAAATATTTAATGAAAATAGTCCACAAAAACACAGTGAACAGAGTCCGCGGCCAGGCAGCACGGCTGAGCGGAAGCCAGGGCTCAACGCCGGTAGCAACTGGTCATACAGGCGGTAAACACAACAAGGACAATCTGACAACAATCTGACAAGGACCGACGAGGAACAGAGGACACAGGAGGGACTAAATACACTGAGGGTAATCAAGGGAATAAGACACACCTGGGAACAATCAAGGGGAAGACAGGACAACGAGGAGACTCAGGACACAGAAACAGAATAAAAACACAGAAAAAACACAGAACCTGACACTGTCATAATTCCTCTGGTTGTTTAACTCAGTGGAACATCAAACCCAAATGAAAATAAACCATGTTTAGTTTCCAACAATATTGTAGCAGAAACATAGAAAGATTTAAAAGCCTCAGTTACATTACAATAGTGACTTTATGCAGTTTTGCTCTCATCTGGACGTCTCACACATCCGGCTTGTTAATCTGGGAATTTAATTCTCCATGAAGGAAACGCAGATGAACTGCAAACAGATCGATTCTCAGGATAAATATTTGCAGAACGGTGCGAGACGCTGAACCAAAACCATTCTCCAAAACACTCAACAGAAAAGTGGAGAACTTTTAAGAAAGCAGAAAGAGGAAATGTTCTTGTTTTGTCAATCAATCATCAATGAAATGTTATTGTGCCGCACATTCAGCAGCATTTTTGTTCTCATGCAGTTAAAAGTTTCTGTAATTTAATGATTTATTTCATGGATGTGAGACTAAACCATTTTCCTTGCAGATAAAAAGCAGCAGGAACAAAATGTACATGAATGATGTTTGTCAGAACCTGACAGAACCTGACAGACTCCCACCCACCAGAGAAACAGAACAGAACCAGAACCCCCAGCTGGGTCAGTCCTGGGCATCATGAAAGTCTGATCCACATGGGACTTTCTGATTATAACATAAAATACTAACATGCATGGTATTTAAGGTGAAAACACTAAAACACTTGTAAAGTGATTTCCTCCACCTGGTTATAAAGGAATCAGCCTCATTGTGGAGCCAGACAGCAGATGATCCAAAGGTCAGAGCAGCCGACCCAAACAAACTTCATCCATGCAGCAGCATGTGGAAATCAGTGACTTCCATTAAATTCAGAAGTTCTTACATTTCCTTTTACAGCTGGTGCCTGGAAACATCTCCACCAGATCATTCCTGCTGATCTTCTTAAAGATGTCCTGGGTGAGGAGCACAGCCCCGCGGCTGTAGGTGTTCATCATCAGGTCCACCAGGTCGGAGGCGTCCGCCTCTTCCAGGAGGCTCACTGGGATCTGTGGGCAGCCTGAGCTCACGTCCCTGTTCTTCAGGAACCATTTGAAGCCTTTCAGCTCCTCTTGCTTCAGGTCTTTCATCAGGTTTAAAAGCATCTCCTTGTCTGATGTGATGATCGCTGCCTAAACATTCACAAGATCTGTAACTGCTTCCTGCTCAAAGTGCTGTGCAATGTCAGAAAAATCTCTCACTCACTCTTTGCATCATTTCAGCCAGATGTTCATCCACACTCTGTATCTCTGCGGAGAAAAACCTTCAGATTTTTCACAAACATTTCAAACGGTCTGCACTTCCCCTGTGTGGCTAGTGGGGTATGAATACTTCTGAGCTTACCTTGTGCTTGGCTGCTGCTCTGATACTCATCTGAAACAGGAATATTTCAGCTGAGTTTCCCTAAAGAGCCTTTTGTTGTGAATGAATATGAAATGAATGTGAACCGGACCTTTCCGAACAGAACATTCCCAAACCGGCTGGTCCTGTCCGTCGGCTCTGAGTGTCAGACTGAAGGTTCTGTCTGCATTTTCAACATAAACCTCAAAGAAGTTTGGCTTTCCTCTGGGATATCGGAGTTTAATTCCCGTCTGGAAGCAGACAGGAGAACCGGGTCAGAACCTCAAAGGATTCTCATCTGAACTCGTGTTCTGGTACCATCAGCTGACTTCACTGCATGCAGAAACGTTCCCAATCTGACGGGAACCTGGATGTGAAACATTAAACCCGTTTCAAACCCACTTTAGGAGAAACTTCTGCAGCCTCCAGATCCGATGTGAGAAAGAAGAATTCGTTCATTTTCAGGGACTTCTCCGGGTCGGGCTTTTGGATCACTCTGTATCCAGAAGACGTTTCCTTTGGTCCATTGCCTATAAATAAAACCAAGATGAAGTTCTGATGTTTCAGAAGCTGGTTCTGTTTGACCCATGATCACCTGCTGTAAAGCCGGGTCGCGTGGGACGAGGTAAACATGCAGCGTGAGGAAAGCCGTGTTGGTCCGATAGAGCAGCACGTTGCAGTAAACTTTCACAGGAAAGCCGGCTCTCATCAGAACCGCCCTCGGAGAGAAAACGGGTTCAGTCAGTCTGACGTGTGACGGTGAGACCTCAGAGACTTTCTCCACAGCGTCTCCACAGTCGTCCATGTGGAGGACAGCAAAGTGCTCCAAAGGTTCAGGGACGTCGTCTGCAGGAAACACAAAGAGGAGCAAAAGTTTTGGATCAACGGCGTCAACGGTTTGGTACCATCATGTTCTCCTACGACACAGATCCAGTGGGGCAGGAACACCGCCGCCATCCTCCCAGTAATCACACTGATGTCCAGTAAAGGACCAGCAGGCCGGTATCCTCTGCTCTCCATCCTGTCCATGTGTCCGTCGTCCCAGGAGCAGAACCGGAACCTAAAGACGACCCGTTCTGAACAGAACCAGCGCAGACCGGAGACGCTGCACTCAAAGAGTCCAGCTTCACTCTGGAGGCTGAAATAAATAAAAATAAAATTCAAATCGTTGATTTGAATTGTGGCATTTCCTGAGCAGCAGATCTGATGCTGCTTCACCTGTAGGTTGGACTTTCTGTCTGGTTCACCTCCGGTACAGTTCAGTCCAGCAGCTGGACTCCAGCTGCAGGACACAGATCAGATGCTGCTCACTCACTTTTCTCACAGATGAGCTAATAAATAAAAATAAATATCACAATCAAAGCCTGAGAAACTACCTTCACTCCCTCATGACCCTGTGACCCCTGGAGGTCCTGCTGCAGAAACAACCAGATTATTTAGTTTCATTTATCTGAAGTTACTTGAGGCTCAGATGATGAACATGAAAACATCCTGGCTGTTGGTAACGGATCCGTCAGTAAACCGGTTTATTCAGGATCTGCTCTCACCTGCTGGGTTTCCTCCTGAGATCTTCTGCACCAAGTCAGAGCGATGAATCTTCTTTAGAACCAGCGCCGCCATGTCCAGCGTCTGCTCGTCCAGCTGCTCCAACATCAGCTTCGCCACCTTCAGCTTCCTCCCCATCTCCACAGCCACGGCTGGCGTTCTTCTCCCGGCTTTCCTGGACAGGCTCTTCTGGACGACTCTCTGAAAATGTTCAAACTTTGCTTCACCTAAATCTTCAAACGTTTCCAGAAGTTTCTCCATCATTGCTGTTAGACTCGCTTCCTGCAGAGTGAAGCAGATCATTTGCTGGTTCAGTACATCTGAACAAATGAGAAAACTGTGAAAGTGTTAAACACCTTAGTCAGGTAACTTAAAATGTAAAACAACTATAAAAAAGAGGGAACTTTCAGGCCTTCTCTGCCTGTACAGTTTACTGTAACAATGTCCTCTCAGTTAACGAGACGTTTGGTTTAATTAACAGAACCAAACAGAGACTGTCTGCTCAGACCTGAGACCCGAATCCTCCTCAAAGCTCCATCAGATTCCCAAAGTCTGTCAGAGGATGTCCTGCGCTGCAGAACCAACCGAGCTAAAGTCCAGTCTCTGTTTCAGGAATCCAGTGTGTGAAGAGTTATTCATTTCTAGACTTCCAGTAGAGAGACGGTTCTGATCACGACCGGCTTATGGTCTCCATGGTTCAGTTTTATGGAGCTGCAGTTTGGACCGACTGTTAGCTCTACACTTTTCCAGAAGACGTCAGTTTAACACTCTGAAGATGTTTTAAATGAAATAAACCTGAGGAAATGAAGCTTTACTCACTTTCTGGAACAACACAGACTGAAACTCCTCTGAGGAAAAAGGAAAAGAGGAACTTTTGAAAATCTATAACTTTATAAACACACTGATAATTCTTCCTGTAAAGTCCAACCTGTTGATCCGGATCTGATCCCGGCCAGATTCTGAAGCACATCAGTTCTGTTCATGTCCATCAGAACCTGCTGGGCCACAGCCACAGACTCCCCTCCCAGCCTCCGAACCATCTGATCCACCAGGTCTGCCGGTCCCTCCCGTCCCGGATCCGCGCTGCCGGGCCGGTCCATGGGCCACGGCACGCTGACTGGGAGTTCTGGGAGGCTTTTCTGGAAACATGTGAACTGCAGTAACCGTTTGAACCTCCAGATGTCGCTGTGGCCCAACTCCTTCATCACCTTCAGTAGAACGCTTTTCACAGCCATCTTTGCTGGAACCTGGAATGTTTTGAGACCTTGTTCAATTATTTCTCTGGATCTTGACAGGAAGTTTTATTTGCATCATTTTTCTGTAAACTAGGAAACATTTGCCTTCAAATTCTGATTTTGTTCTTGTGTCTCTGATTGCAGAAACATGGAGGGAGGAAATGTGCTGGTCCTGCTTTTCTTATCTTATGATTTGTGGCAGAAATGGGAGCCATGACTCCTGCTTCACTTTGTTCTCTTAGCAACAAGCTCCAGAAATACAGGACGCTTCACTTACCGTGTTCAGCATGACCACTCTCTCATATTCAGCAATGGACACCTTTCCTGAAGAAATGCAAAGCAGAATGATCCGAAGATCTTAAATTCATTTCAAATGAAGAATAACAAGAAAACCATGAAACATTTCCATCAATAAAACATTGGAGGCAGCAGACTGATGCTGGTGCAGCGAAAACATGGTTCCTGTCCCTTTAACCCCCTCAGTGGGTCCTGGACCCCATGTTGGCCCCCATGTTGGCCCCCATGATGGCCTCCATGTTGGCCTCCATGACGGCCCCATGTTGGCCTCCATGACGGCCTCCATGTTGGCCTCCATGACGGCCCCCATGATGGCCTCCATGTTGGCCTCCATGTTGGCCCCCATGATGGCCTCCATGTTGGCCTCCATGTTGGCCCCCATGTTGGCCTCCATGTTGGCCCCCATGATGGCCACCATGTTGGCCCCCATGATGGCCTCCATGTTGGCCTCCATGTTGGCCCCCATGATGGCCTCCATGACGGCCCCCATGTTGGCCCCCATGATGGCCTCCATGTTGGCCCCCATGATGGCCACCATGTTGGCCCCATGATGGCCTCCATGACGGCCCCCATGATGGCCCCATGATGGCCTCCATGTTGGCCCCCATGTTGGCCTCCATGTTGGCCCCCATGATGGCCACCATGTTGGCCCCCATGATGGCCTCCATGTTGGCCTCCATGTTGGCCCCCATGTTGGCCTCCATGATGGCCACCATGTTGGCCCCCATGTTGGCCCCTATGTTGGCCCCCATGATGGCCTCCATGTTGGCCCCCATGTTGGCCCCCATGTTGGCCCCCATGATGGCCTCCATGTTGGCCCCCATGTTGGCCCCCATGTTGGCCCCCATGTTGGCCCCCATGTTGGCCACCATGTTGGCCCCCATGATGGCCTCCATGTTGGCCTCCATGTTGGCCCCCATGATGGCCTCCATGACGGCCCCCATGTTGGCCCCCATGATGGCCTCCATGTTGGCCTCCATGACGGCCTCCATGTTGGCCTCCATGACGGCCCCCATGTTGGCCCCCATGATGGCCTCCATGATGGCCTCCATGTTGGCCCCCATGATGGCCTCCATGTTGGCCCCCATGATGGCCTCCATGTTGGCCCCCATGTTGGCCCCCATGTTGGCCCCCATGATGGCCTCCATGATGGCCTCCATGATGGCCCCCATGTTGGCCCCCATGATGGCCTCCATGTTGGCCTCCATGACGGCCTCCATGTTGGCCTCCATGACGGCCCCCATGTTGGCCCCCATGATGGCCTCCATGTTGGCCCCCATGTTGGCCCCCATGTTGGCCCCCATGATGGCCTCCATGACGGCCCCCATGTTGGCCCCCATGTTGGCCCCTATGTTGGCCTGGAGGTGTTTCCAGGTTCAAACATCAGGACCGATGTTCTCCATCCTAGGAAGAGCTGAGGCCTTCAGGCTGCATGCTGCTACATCTGAACACAGATTTATGTGACTTACCTTTCAGACCTGAGCTGGTCTCCAGGAGCCTCTCTGCCAGATCGCTCCTGTTTACGTCCAGTAAAACCTGCATGGAAACCTCCACAGACTGCAGGCCCAACTCCTCCACCATCTCATTCACCACGTTTGGGACCGAAGGTCCAAATCTCAGCCTCATGGAAGGATTCAAGAGGTTTTTCCCAGAGAGGCTGAGGGCTGAGCGCAGCGACTTCTTGAAGTTCTCCAGCTCCTTTTTCTTCAAGTCACTCAGGATTTCTGTGAGCAGCTGTTTGAAAGCTGCAATCAGAGCCACCTGCAACAAAAACAGCAACACAAATATGCTCATTAGAATACTTCCTCTGAAGTCCCGACTGTCTGTAAATCAACAGAATCTCATGGCCAAAGTGATAACACGTATTCTGTAACGAAGGCTGAGCAGGAAAACAGTCGTTCCTCACTTTCTGCAGAGCAGCAGAGCCTCTCTGGTCCGCTGAGAGTTTCTCTGAGGGGAAAACCAGGCAGAGCTTCAGACGTCACACCGAAGCAGAAGATTAACCAACATCTTTAAGGTTTCATCTTTACTGCTTACTTGCTTGCCGTCTTGTGGAAGCTGAGACGTCCTGAAGCAGATCTGTTCTCCTCATCCGTTTCAAAACCTCCCTGGTCGTCTCCACAGACCGCAGGCCGAACATCTGCACCATCACAAGCACAGCGGGCCGCAGCTCTCTGACGGCCAGCAGTCTGTCTGCCACGTCGCGCCGACTCTGACCAAACACCGCGATGAAGAACAGCTGCTCCTCTTCGCTCAGATCACCCAGAGTCTCCAGCAGCAGCGCGATGAGCGACTCCATGGCTTCAACCTGGAGGCAAAAACAAGTCATTGTTTTTTGCTCAAACATGTTGATACGTTTTGATTCCAGATCCTGAACAACAGCAGCTTAAGAACCGAGTTGCAAAATGTCCTTTGAGCAGAGAAAAAACTAACATGTTTCACATTCAACCCGTTTTAAAGCAAGAAGCCGACTGTCAGATGACTCACTCTGTGGATCAGTCCGGGCCAAAGCTCCTCCACAGAAACTTTCTCTGGGGAAAATAGATGTGATGATCATTAATACAGTTCCTATTGACGACCAACTGGAGGAACAATAAAGTCTCTGAGTTCTGCACAGCATGTTGGAAAACCAGAACCAGAATATCTCCAACCAACCAGCAGACAGGATGTTTTAATGTTGAGAGTTAATGTAACTCAGAGCGGATCCCTGTGGATCCCTGTGGATCCCTGTGGATCCTCAGCAGATCCTCAGCAGATCCAGGAAACCGCTGTCACATCGCGGCAGCATGAAAAACTGCAGCTCACCTTCCCAGCTTTTCTCCGGCAGCTTCTCCAGCAGGTCGGTTCTGTTCATGTCCGTCAGAACCTGCCGGGTCGCCTCCAAACACCGCTGGCCGTATGTGCTCATCAGCAGGCCCACCACATCTCTACAGTTTGACTTTTTCAGATCGCTCCATGAGATTAGTGGAAATTGTTCTGGAAGGACTCAAAGTTCAGGAAGATCTTGAAATTTGCCAGATCTAAATGATTCAAATCCGTCAGAGTTTCCAGCAGAAGCTCTTTCACAGCCGCCATCGTTGCTGCCTGGAAAATAACAAAAACATGGCAGTTAATTGTTTTTATTACATAATAAATGCCTTTAAGAAGCACAATCTCAATAACATTCTGTAACTGAACCATCTGATGCAAACATGCAGTGATGATCAGTAAATGGATTCTTAGCTCAAACGTCAGAGAAGCAACTTTCAGCTCAGCGTTCGAACAAAACAACTAACTTTGGCTATTTTTATTTATTCAGCAGTAATTCAGGAAAAACTGGAACAGAAAAATCCAATTCATGAATTATCTGCTGTCTGTCTTAAGTCAGCAGCTAAAGGTCAAGGTCAGGTCACTGTCTGGCTGATTGGAAGGATTGAAAGAGAAACGTTTTTCGTCCAGAAACAAGATGGCGGAACCACAGAGCTGCACATGAATGAAGGAGCAGATTCATGGAGCGAAGCCGAATGATTGGCTGAAATGACACGGTAGAGGCGGTATGGTGATCCTGGCTTGTGTTTCAGTCGGTCCCTTTCCTTTGAACATCCGACCCATAGATAGAGAATCTAAACCATCATTCAGGACTTTACTCACTTTGTGGATCAGCGCCGACAGACGATCATCATGTGGTTCTGATTGGGACAAAAGCAAAGAGATCAACATGAAATGATTTAACTCGTCTCACTTTTATTCTCTTACCTTGCGTCTCGGCCTGCAGTCCAGCAGACTTTGGACCAGATGGTTCTGGTTGATGTCCACCAAAATCGTCCTGGTGACGTCCACAGACTGCCTGCCGTGACTCTGGACCAATGAGATCGCTGCGATCTCCGGGTCGATCTCCAGGTAGATCTCCGGGTCGGTCCCCAGCGGCGCTGACCCGGGAGCGGTACCTGCTGCTGAAGGTTCTAGCAGCAGGTACCGCTCCCAGAACTCCCTCAGGCCGCCGTCGCTCAGAGCCGACAGCGTTTCCATCAGCAGCTCCAGAACCGACGCCATGGCTCCGGCCTGGCGAGTCAGAGACGAGGAAATAATACACTTATTATTATTATTATATTATTATTATTATATTATTATTATATTATTATTATTATTAAAACAGCTGCTTGTTTTACAGAACTGCAGTTTTATTATCGGCATAAAATGAACTTTCACTATCAGATATTCTGTTTATTATGTAATCTAAATAATATGGTCGGCGGGTCGTTAGATGTGACCCGTCCAGGTGACCCGCCCAGGTGACCCGCCCAGGTGACCCGCCCAGGTGACCCGTCCAGTGACCCGTCCAGGTGACCCGCCTCTCGCCCGGAACGCAGCTGGAGAGGCAGCAGCACCTCCTGACCCCGTGAGGGAGAAGGGTGATCAGGAAATGGATGGATGGATAAAATTTGCATATTTGACGATGTTTTACTGTTTTGTTCTGTGTGAGAATATTTCTATCTTTCATAACTGAAAGGTGTTGATGTGGCTGAAGTGATGTGACTTACTCTCTGGATTAAAGGTGGATTCTCTAAAATAGAAGCACAAAAATTCATTTTTAAACCTTTTATTAAAATTATGACACTAAAATAATGGAAACTCTTTGGGGCTTCCTGACCTCTGACCCCTGCCAGCCTGTGCAGCAGGTCCTGACGCCTCATCTTCAGTAAAATCTTCCTGGTCTGCTCCACACCTTCCTCTGCACATCCTCATCATCAGCTCCACCACAGCCTGCGCGCTCGCTGCCTCCAGCTCCCTCTGGGAGCTGGGAGGTAAAAACTTTTCTGCCACCAGGAACAGCTTGAAGTCCTGGAAACCTCCTGGACTCAGCTGGTCCAGGGTTTCTACCAGCAGCTCTTTAGTCGTCATCGTTTCTGCCTGGAAAAACAAGAAGCAGGAAGCTGAAAACCTTCTGCCTCTCTGGAAACATCGTTTCTGTTTAACGATGGCGTTCATGCAATCATGACACTCCAGAAAACTTTATCACACCATCTGCCTGACTGGCCTGACTGGGTTTGTTCTGAAGCTGCATTTGTATTTATTCAGGTAAACTTTACCTGGAATGATTTATAAAACTTTTATTGTTAGATGTTAAACCTTCATTACTGGTTGAATTTTTGGAGAATATTCCTGGGACTGAAGCAGGACCTGGAAAACGTGACTCTTCAGTGAATCACTGGAGGACGTTTGGGTTTGATTTCTGGTGTGTTTTGAAGTAACAGGAACTTTGATTTGCTGCAGCAGCAACCGTCCTGCTGCTGCAGCAACTTGCTGCAGATCTCGGACATCGTTCATGGATCCAACAACAGAACGACCAAAACCTAAAACCTCTCAGAAATGACTGACACACAAAATAAAATCTGTTTATAAATGTCTTCCATCACGTCTTTATCCTACTGAACTTGTCTGAAATGTTTTGGGAACTTCAGAGTGAAAAACTTAATCAGCTGGAGAACAAAACTGGATTTGTTTTTGTATAATGTTACTAAATATTTCACTGAACAAATCAAAACCAAACTGTGGTTTGTGATAAGTGAGCCTGACGCCGTTCTGATTCCTCGTTTCTCATTTCGGAGCGACGCTCCATCATTGCTTCATCGTTTTTAACAAAAGATGATGATGATGTCAGTAAATTCAGTCATTTACTGGCATTTTACAACACAAACAGATTATATGACTACAGGAAACATGAATTCCTTAAACACAACATCACCGCCAGCTGCAGCTGTCTGATGTGAAACACAGCAGTGAAGAGGGCAAAGCAGCCACAGATCCTGCAGGAATGGAACCTGCAACCTTCTGATTGCCAGAAGGCTCTGCCCCCTGACTTACCGGGTCAAACCTAAATCTGAGCAAACGGCACCATCTTGTCTGAGATCTTGTCTCGTTTCAGTGAACTGTCTTTTAGACTTACCAAATGTTTTCCTTCCTCAGAGTTTTCTTTCCCTGTTCAACATGTCTGCCGTCTCCTCCACCTTTATCATCCCTGCAAAACCAACAGGCTCCAACTGTAATGTTTCACTAACGTTTCATGAGAAAATGAACTAATCCTGCATGTCAGCTCTATATTTCACAAGCTGTGCATAAAGAAACTTAAATTACTCAACCGAGTCTCGCGCTCTGTTTCCACATTTATCCAGGAAGTGGTTTCCACGCTTCCCCTGGTTACCTCGGCTCTTTAAAGATATTATTTCATCTACTGAACACAAGTGTTTACAATGCTAAAGCTAAGTAAAAATGTTTTGAACAAATATAAAGGACAAAATGCACTAAATAAAATGTATTTTTCTGATTCAGAAAATATAAATGAAAGCTTCAGAACTTTGTATATTTGGTGGTTTAGAGCGACCAGTTATCATGGATCTGCTGAGATCTCAGATCATTGAGTGTTTGGTGATTATTAGCTCTGGGTTTCATAAAGTAGTTTCATTTACAGCCAATCGATGATGAAATCTCTTAAAAATGGAGGAATGTCCCGAGCAGGTCAGCTGCAGCATCACTGCAGCATCAGAGAAACATCAGAGAAACATCAGCGGATAAAATCTGTTTTAAACAAACAGACTGGAAAGATCAGGACGATGAAAGCAGAACAGAAACAGGTGGGGAAACTCTCTTCCCTTTAACAAGCGGTTTCTTCCATGCAGATGTTTCAGACAGTGGCGTTTTAGCCCCGCTTTAGGGGCGCTTTAGCCTGAATAGGACCGCCACCCATCCCTTAAAATACAGGCTCGTCCCATATCTGGCCGTTAAATGTATTGATCTGATGCAGAACTGTCTGATAGACGCGCCTTTAATAAATATCAACACTAAATTTGAATAATGGCCAAAATAAAACAGGCAGTATTAAGGTCAGCTGCACTGTAGTGGCGGGAGCTGAAGGACCCTGAACGTCACGGTTGCCTAGAGACGCAGCAACTATTGTGTGCTGCAATTTGAAAAACTTGATGTGCAGATAAGTGAGGAGACAAGATGGAGCTGTTGTGAGATACTATTGTTTATCTATATGTAGCCGGGGCATTATGTCCATTATGCACTCTTCCGGTTGCCCATATAAGGAAGACGCTGTTTTAGCGCAGCTGATTCATTACGGAGGCAAGCAATCGGTATTTACATTTAAAAGCGGGTAGATCGCTGAGAGGGTGAGAGTCCAGGCTGATTTCTGCAGGTATGGTTAACATGAAGTGTGCGCTGGGTTGAGAATTATTTCTGATGGCTCCATTTTATTGCAGGAAACCTCCTCTTGGAGAGGATATACAGAGCTCTGCTAGCTTTTAGCGAAGGTAAAGGCAGTTCATTATTATGTGGTTATTTAAAATATCTGTTTAATTTTATTCTCTGTTGTGTGCAGGTTGGCCTGCTACTGTTTCGGTTTTAGTTTGTTTTGGTTATTTATGGATTAAACTTTTTATTCTTTTGGGAGTTTTTATTGTTTCAGCCCTCCAGGCTCGCTTGTAGATAACCTGTGCTGTCCCTGGTTCCAAGCTGTTTTATCTAGATTGAGGAGACTAGTGGAAGGGGAGTTTCTTGTTTTGTGTTATTCACCGGGAGTTTTTCTTTTGTTGTGCGAGTGTTTTTTGTTTGGGAACACATAGGTGTATTCAGTTACATTTGTTTTTTTTAAATTATATTTCTCCCCCAAGCAGTCTGATGTTATTTAATCAAAGTAACTGGTCATCAGCGGTAAGGTTTCCAGGGCCAGCATAGATTTAGGATTTTAAAGTGGTTGATATTGTACAATAAAAATGAATTGACTATTTATGCCTAGCATTATTGTGATTAAATAAACTGTGGTTAATTTGCATCAGTGCCTCTGATCATTTTCTTTACAAACTTATGTGTGATCTGGTAAAAAGACAACACCAGAGGATTTAAGGTTCTTCACATAACTAAGGTGGTAACCGAGGTCACAAATAGTAACAGTTTGGCTTCCTGCCCACTGGGGGCGCTCTAAAGAACTATACAGTGATAAACGAGTTCGAATAAGAGTATGTTCATGTTGTTAGTGGAATGCTCGTGCTAATAAAGCAAGCCCGACTTTTCAACTGTTGATGGCTACTCTCGTCTTCCCTCATTTCATGACATGGTATCAGAACTAAGGACTTAAACGCCTACCGAGAGAGCGCAATGGCAAAGTTTGGACCTCCGGAGCCGTTTGATTTTGCCCAGCCTGCGGAGTGGCCGACCTGGCGGCAGAGGTTTTCCCGCTTCAGAGTCGCGTCGAAACTCGACAGGGAGAGCGGTGAAGTGCAGGTGAATTCGCTCCTGTACTCTATGGGGAGAGATGCCGAACCTATTTACGGCTCTTTCGTGTTTCCCGCCGCTACGGAGGATATGCTACATCCAGAGTATGACTTCGCCTTAGTGATGCAGAAGTTTTGACGAACACTTGGTTCCAAAAAGAAACGTTATCCATGACCGCGCCTGTTTTCACAAAAGGAGCCAGAGGGCCGGTGAGACGGTTGAAGCTTTTGTGAGGAGCTTATATGAGCTCGCGCAGCACTGTGAGTTCGGCGCGGGGAAAGATGAGCAGATCCGGGACCGAATCGTTATTGGAATAATGGATAAGGAGGTTTCTCAAAAACTTCAACTGGAAGCGGACCTGACTCTGGAGAGAGCTATCCAGCTTCCACGTCAGAGTGAACAAGTGAAACAGCAAAGTGCAGAGCGCGTGGAAACTACAGTGAATGAGGTGAGACGGAAACAGTTTAACAGCACAAAGAGGAGCTATGAGAAACCACGGCAGAAACAAGCACAGAAATACAGCGAGAAGACTGAACTGTCACAGATGTGATAGGATGCACGACAGAAAGGAAAACTGTCCTGCCCGAAATAAAAGATGCAGAAAGTGTAACAAAATGGGACATTTTGAGGCTGTGTGTAAAACTAAATGCTAAAACAAGTCAGAGCTGAAGCTGCTACAGATTCAGATGAGGATTCATTTTTTTTTGGTGAACTGTTCCTAAGAGCAACAGCAAAGTCAACTGTCATCGAAGAGTCAGATTCAGATATCGACTGGGACA